AATATTGTGTCTGATGCATAAATTGCCAAGACGTGAAACTGGATTATAGTGAAACTAAGGAAGGTAACAACCATGTAGCCAGAGCATGGACTAAGAACCAAAGTGCAGCGTTTCTAAATCCAGCTGTGACCCTTAGTGATTGTGAACCTCTGTGCCTCAGTTGTCTGTCTGTAGGAGGCTAGCAATAGCACTTGTCTCATGGAGTTGTTTTAGGGGTTAGATGAAATGGTAGATGCAGAACACTTGGAATGGTGCCCAACACATAGTAGGAACTTAGTACCTGTTAGCTGTGATCAGTAGCAGCCATGTGCTCTCCAGAACATCACCTGTGACACTCCTCCACTGAAGAGCGTAGGGAGTGTGTTTACAGTCTCTAGGAAACAAATTGAGTTATAGATGGGCATCTTTTAACTGCAGAAAGGGTGATTTGTGCTGTAAGGTAAGGGGCTTAATGTGATAGACACTTATAAAAAATATTTATTTGTTAGGCAGAGAGAGAGATGGTGGGGGAGGGAGATAATTGGTCTTGCATCTGCTGGCTCACTCCCCAAATGGCTGCATCAGCCAGGGCTGGGCCAGGCTGAACTCAGGAGCCTGGAACTCCATTCAGGTCTCCCGCAGGGTAGCAGGGACACCTTTGTCAACTTCTGCTTCCCAGGTGAATTAGCAGGGAGCTTGACTGGAAGCAGAGCAGCTGGAACTCGGATTTGCACTCCAGTATTGGATGCCAGTGTCACAAGTGGTGGCTTAACCACTGTGCCACAATGCTAGCCCCTACATCTTTAAAATACAGTGTGTGAAAGAGAAGATTTGATAGAAATAAAGAGCTAATATTCCTTCTTCCTGGTCAAGGATCTAACATCTTTGACCAGGCATTGGAATCACCTGGCTTTTTCTCTTTTGTGGTAAGTCTTTGGGGGAAAAAAAAAAGTATAATATTAAGAAAGGAATTTTGGGGCGGATGAAAACAACAAAGGAGAGTTTTACATGTAAAGAAAATGACTCAGAAGATTTGTTTTTTGCTTCAGAGTGGGCATTGCATTCAGCTTGGCACTTAGATCTTGGCTTGTAAATACCATTCTTCACTGAAAGGAACAGGGCCTCTTAGAAATGACAGATAACAGGGGCTGGCGCTATGGCGTAGCTGGTAAAGCTGCCACCTGCAGTGCTGGCATGGCATCCCACATGGACGCTGGTTCGAGGCCCAGCCGTTCCACTTCCGATCAGCTCTCTGCTGATAGCCTGGGAGGGCAGTGGAGGATGGCCCAAGTCCTTGGGCTTTGCATTGCATGGGAGACCCAGAGGAAGCTCCTGGCTCCTGGCTTCTGATTGGTGCAGCTCTGGCCGTTGCAGCCAGTCTCTCTCTCTCTGCCTCTCCTTTTTCCTCTGTGTGGCTCTAACTTTCAAATAAATAAATAAATCTTAAAAAAAAAAAAAAAAAGAAATGACAGATTACAGAGCAGGAGCAAGATGAATCTGGACTATCTGTGGTGCTGGAAAGTAATGGGTTGTCCAGAAAATGTTGGGGACATGCCAGAGAGACAGGGACCAGCTTAAAAGTCCCGTTCTAATTCCCTCCCCTGCACCTCCATGCCTCTGCCTCACAAACCCCCATCTATGATGAGATAGGTGGAGTGACAGGATAATTGATAGGAATAGATCATAATCTACAGAATAAAGTAACAATCCATACTGATACACACTTGTTTAAGGAAGAAGGGGACACTTCGTTGTAGCAGAATTCCAACTACTAGGTATAGAAAGCATGAGGATTTAAAGAAGTCATCAGTTGGGAACCACCATAGTAATTATTTCTGGGAAACATCAGCAATGGATACTGAAACTAGTAGGTAAAAATTTAATGAGAAGCAAAATGTGTACATAGTTGCAAAGTATACTTACCCATAAATCTCATTATAAAGGGGGAACTCATAAGTGAGGAATCTGGTTGACAATATGTTAACCAAATGATCAAAGTTAATATCACAGTTTTGGAACAAATCCATATTAGGCATCTCCGGGTAATTACTCAGGAGGACATATAAAGATACTTTAAAAAATTAGTGGTAAATTCATTTTATGGAAAACCGCATGGATTTAAACTTTTTTTTTAAAGATTTATTTATTTGAAAGAGTTATGGGGGTGAGGGTGAAGTGGGGAGGTGGAGATCTTCCATCTGCTGTGTGATTCCCCAAATGCCTCCAGCAGCCAGGGCTGAGCCAGGCTGAACCCAGGAGCCAGCATCTTCATCTGGGTTTCCAACCTGGGTGGTAGGAGCTTAAGCACTTGTGCCATCTTCTGCTGCTCTTTCCAGGCCATTAGCAGGGAACTGGATCTGAAGTGGAGCAGCCAGGACATGGACCAGTGCCCATTTGGGATGCCAGCATTGCACGTGATGGCTTAACCTGCTACAGTACAATGCCAGCCCTAATAAACTTATCTTTTACTTCCATTTCTCCATGATTTTTTAAAAAATATTTATATATTTGAAATGCAGTTACAGAGAGAGGCAGAGCCAGAGAGAGAGAGAGGTCTCCCATCCACTGGTTCACTCCCCAAATGACTGCAGTGGTCAGAGTTGAGCTGTTCTGAAGCCAGGAGCCAGGAGCTTCTTCCGGGTCTCCCACACAGGTGCAGGGGCCCAACCACTGCTTTCCCAGGCCATAGCAGAGAGCTGGTTCAGAAGTGGAATAGCCGGAACTTGAACCAGCGCTCATATGGAATGTGGGTGCTGCAGACTGGGGCTTTAACCCATTGTGCCACAGTGCCAGCCCCTGTTCTTTTGAAGTATCCTCATTCTTCAAAAAAATGCATAATCTGACTTGAATCACAAGAAAAGATCAGACAAACCTAAAGGTTGTTTGATGATTTTTGAAGGATATTCTGTTAAATACATAGCCTTTAAGCCTTTACTCCTCAAAAATGTCCAGGTCATGAGAAACAAAGATGGCCTGGTCAACTGTTACATACTGAAAGATACTGAAAGACAGCCTGCCGTCCACACGCAGCATGTGATCTGGGGCTAGGCCACTGTTAGCAAAAGTGCAGCAGGTCTTTTTTTTTGAAGATTGGTTTATTTGAAAGAGTTAGAGAGAGGTAGATAGGTCAGTCTTCGATCTGGTTGTTCACTCCCCAAATGTCTGCAATAATTGTGGCTGGGCCATGCCTAAACCAGGAACCTCATCCAGGTCTCCCCTCTAAGTGCAGGGGCCCAAGCACTTGGGCCATCCTCCATTGTTCTCCCAGGCTCATCCTTTCATTGGATCGGAAGTGCAGCTGCTGGGACTAGAACCGGTGCCCATTTGGGAGGCTGTATCGGAGGTGGCTTAACCCACTATGCCATAATGCCGGCCCTTGGAACAGGTCTTGAGATAGTATTGTATCAATGATAATCGGTTTGATAATCACTCAAGTATGTCCTTGTTTTTAGGAAGTACATACCAAAAGTAAGCAAATGTTTCAGAGTAAAGCATGTAAATGTTAAATAAAATATTTACATTTGGAGAATCTGGATGAATAGTGTATAAGGATTCTTTCTACTGTTTGCAGTTCTGAAAATCTAATTCCAAATACAGTTAAAATATTGGCAGTAAGTTTATTAAAATTACAAATGTAAAAATCCCAATTATTGAATTTGTGAATAGCTTCTACATTTGCTTGGTAATCACCTTTTAGTGATGTTTTGTGCTTTCACTCAGATGTCTGGGGCCTTGGTGGGATGGCAGATGGCAGATCAGACAGGACTGACTGAGTGCCACATGTGTGGCCCCTCCAGCCTGGCAGTCTCAGTGTAGTCAGCATTCTTACGTGGCAATTGAGGGTTCCCAGAGCACATGTTCTAGAGGCCTGAATGGAAGCCCATTGCTTTGTATGTCCAAGCCTCAGATGTCCCAAAATATCCTTTCTGGTATAGTTGGTTGGTCAGTTACTTGGACTCACTTTGAAGGGGAGGAATCTCAGACTGTACCAACCCAAGAGGGGACAGCAAGGAATATGTAATTGTTTGTTTCCTACCATGAGACATGATTTCAAATAGGATCTAGAACGAATGCAAATACATTTGTAAATCCTACATTTCTTAGTGTAATTTGGGGTCATTTTTTTAAAAAAGATTTATTTATTTATTTGAAAGGCAGAGTTACAGAGATGCAGAGGCAGACAGAGAGAGAGAGCTTCCATCCACTGGTTCATTCCCCAATTGGCTGCAACAGCCAGAGCTGGGCCAATCCGAAGCCAGGAGCCAGGAGCTTCTTTCGGGTCTCCCACACAGGTGCAGGGGCCCAAGGACCTGGGCCATCCTCTGCTGCTTTCCCAGGCCATAGCAGAGAGCTGGATTGGAAATGGAGCAGCTGGGACATGAACTGGCGCCCATATGGATGCCAGCACTAGTCGGCGGCTTTACTTGCTACACCACAGCGCTGGCCCCAGGGTCATGGTTTATAAGATTATTTTAGAGACACACTGAAGGCTGTTGAGTTGACTAAAGTGTAAATGAGCAAGCCTTTGGGTCAGAATCAATTTTTCCTCAGTTGTGGCTTTTGTTGTTCTGCAGGCAGATTATTTTCAGACTCTTGTTAAACTTACAGGGGCTGGCGCAGCGGCATAGCAGGTAAGCTTGCTGCCCGCAGCGCCAGCATCCCATATGGGTGACTGTTCAAGTCCTGGCTGCTCCACTTCCGATCCAGCTCTCTGCTGTGGCCTGGGAAAGCAGTAAAAGATGCCCAACTGCTTGGGCCCCTGGCCTGGAAGAATCTCCAGCCTCCTGGCTTTGAAATAGCTCAGTTCCAGCTGTTGTGGCCATTTAGGGAGTGAACCAGCAGATAGAAGACCTTTCTCTTTCTCTCTAACTACTTTCCAAATAAAATAAATAAATTAAAAAAAAAAAAAGGAATAGGGAAGAGGCAACATTTAAAAAAAATAACCTCACCTGTAAGATGAGGGCCTTCGTAATCCACTTACAAATTATTTTCCAAGTTTTGTTCTATTCTGATGTTGCCAGTGTTGACCTCACCAGCGAAGAAACAAGTGATTCCATTAGTTCTACAACCAGCCCAACTGAAAATACTCAGCAGGAAGATGGCAGCATGTTCTCGTGCATCACCTGGAATATTGATGGGTTGGATCTGAACCATCTGCAGGAGAGGGCCCGAGGAGTGTGTTCCTACATAGCTTTGTGAGTATTGTCACTTCTGGCTAGTAGTTTTCTAATGTTGTAGTGTCTCTTGTGTATCTACGAGTGATAGCCCAGCACCGCAGGCTTTACCGCAGGAGCTGGGTTCAGAGTCCGCCCCGAGAAGGATCTCAGTGACTGCCTCTGAGAACGAGATGGGGTTTGGGTGGAGAGGGAGCACTCGTGTTTATTAGAAGCCACCTGGGACTATGTATTCAACTCTGTGTTATGAGTTCTGCCATGCAAAGTCGCCCAGAAAGTCTGTTCCTGCCCCAGACTGGCTTTGCAGCTTCACTTAAGTTCTCTGGAGCTCAGCTTTCTTCGTTGTGGATAAGAATTTTCCAGAGGATTGTTATAGATAACTGTGAAAGCTTCTGCTGGAGTGTAGTACCACTCGCAGGCTCTCAGTGTCTTCTATTGTCAGTTGTTGCCATTGTTTTTTACTACAGTGTTTTGTGTTAAGTTGTATAGAAGATTCTCAGTTTATAGTCGTACAAGGTTAGTGTAAACATTGACTATCAGATACCTTAGAGATTTTGTTTTTCTTGTATGTCATGGAATTTCCTTCCTCTTGGTAGCTGAAAGTGAAATGGTATACCTGGTATTTACTATAAACTGATGTTTTCAATTAGGTACAGCCCTGATGTGGTGTTTCTACAGGAAGTTATTCCTCCATATTGTAGCTACATAAAGAAGCGAGCAAGTAGTTATGAGATTATTACAGGTAACAATTTTCTTGCTACTTCTTTTCCTTTGAAAAACAGATCAGTGAAAGAGATAAGTAGAGTCAGTCTGTTGGCACAAAAAGAAGAAAAACCAAATGAATAAGTTTGAGAATACTAAGCAAGGCACAGGATACTAAAAGAATTATAGGAGAACATTTTATACAATTTATTTATTTTTAAAGATTTATTTGAAAGGCAGAGTTACAGAGGCAGAAAGAGAGAGAGAGAGGTCTTCCACCCACTGGTTCACTCCCCAAGTGGCCACAACGGCTGGAGCTAGGCTGATCCAGAACCAGGAGCTTCTTCTGGGTCTCCCACATGAGTGCAGGGGCCCAAGGTCTTGGGCCGTCTTCTACTGCTTTCCCAGGCCATAGCAGAGACCTGGATTGGAAGTGGAGCAGCCAGGACTCAAACCGGTGCCCATATGGGACTCAAACCAGTGACCGCACTGCAGGCGGTGGCTTTACCTGCTACGCCACAGCGCTGGCTCTACATTTTATACAATTTAATGTTAATAAATGTGAGAAAAGTGATTAAAATAGATATTTTTCTGAGAAATTACTAACATTTGAGACACTTTTTGATTGAAGTTGTTTTAAAATTTTTTAATGTGATAATTGCATTGTGATTATGCTTTTTCAAAAAGTCTATGAATTTGTTTTAACCTTTTTGCACTGAATAACTTAGTTTTTAATTTTCCATTTATTTTGTTTTTGCTAAAGTGCATTTAAAGTGCCACTTTGGCCACATCTCATGGTTTTTATGTTTTCTTTGACTTTTGCTGTTACATAGTATGTGATTTTTTTTTTTTTTAGCTCTGATTTCCTCTTTAATCCAAAATTGCTAAGGTCGAGAATTCCCTCTCAGTCTGTGTGTGTAGGACTGCTCTTCTGCGTTCTCGAGCATTCTTTTGCTTCTCCTTTTAGAGTTTCTCGTTTTCTGAATCCCAGGCTTTCCTTCTGCCTCATTTTATTACAGCTCATTCTCTGGTTGCTTTCTAGAAGTAGTGAATGGGTAGTGAAGTTTTTGGATCCTAACATATTTGTAATTGGTTGATAGTTTGGCTGAACATAGCTTTCTAGGTAGGAAGTCATTTTTAGGGCATTGCTTCAGTGTCTTTTAGCTTGTGTTATTGATAATGATGTCTGCCGCTCATTCCTGTTTTTGCCCAAATCTCTGACGCTTTGAGGGTTTCTTTTTCTTTTTTTTTTTTTTTTAAAGATTTATTTATTTTACTTGAAAGTCACAGTTACATAGAGAGAGAGAGAGAGAGAGAGAGAGGTCTTCCTTCTGCTGGTTCACTCCCCAGATGGTCAAGACAGCTGGAGCTGTGCTGATCCGAAGCCAGGAGTTTCTTCTGGGTCTCCCATGCAGGTGCAGGGGCCCAAGGCCTTGGGCCGTCTTCTGCTGCTTTCCCAGGCCATAGCAGAGAGCTGGGTCAGAAGTGGAACAGCCAGGTCTCGAACCGGCGCCCATATGAGATGTCGGCACTGCAGACAGTGGCTTTACCCGCTAAGCCACAGCTCTGGCCCTAGGAGGGTTTCTTTTTCTTAACTGTAGCATTATTTTGTTCTTTTCTTTCTTTTTTTCCCTCTTGTTGATTGTCAGAGAGAGAGACAGATGAACAGAGAGACCACTCATCCTCTGGTGTACTCTCCAAATATCTGCAAAAGCCAGGGCTGGGCTGAGCCTGAAGCCAGGAGCAGGGAACATGATCCCGGTGTCCTGCCCGGGTGGCAGGAACCCACTCACTTCAGCTGTCACCACTGCCTCCAGTTTGATTCAGCAGGAGCCAGGACTGCAAATGCAGCCCAGCGTTCTAATGGGGATACAGGCCTCTTAGCCAGCAGGCTGTGTGCTGACGCCATTTCTCATCTACTGTGCTGTTCAGGGAGTCTCAGATCTGGAAAATTCTTTTTCTCACCTTCCTTCCTCTTCTCTCCTAGTTGTCTTTCTTTCTCCCCTCTATTGCCCTCCGTGCTCCTTTCATTCTTTCTTTTTCCTTTTCTCACTTCTTTCTTTTCTCTTTCCTTTTCTCCCTCCTTTATAATTCCTTTTCTCATCCCCTTTTGGGAATCCCTCTGTTAAAAGACCCTTTCATTTTCATGTCTCATTGATTTTTCATGTCTCTGTCCCACTTTCTTGGCAACTGTCTTGGTTTTTAAATATTATTTTAATTTCCCAGGCCTCCTGTTCATTTAATGTCAGGTTTTTTTTTATGGCATTTTCTTGTTTATGGAGGCAGTACCTTATCACATAGGACATTATTTTGTTAGTTGTTGGTTAGTTTGTTTTAGGTGTTAATTTTTTGTCTGCGTTGCTTTAATTTCTTCTTTTTGTCTGTGTTGGTTATGTCCTGCCATGTTGGACTTGTTGACTCTTGGTTCACATGTAAACACCAGGTATTAAAAAGCCAACGAGAGCTTAGTGTCCCCCAGCAAGGCCAGGTAGTACACCCCACTAGGGGTGGGTGAGGGATGATTGATTGTGGAGTAGACTGCTGCTTCCCCCGCTGTCCGTGTGTCGACGTGTGGACGCCCTTCATCTCAGGCCGCGCGGTTTCCCTACCAGAGCCCTCTAGCTTTCTGGGTTCTGGATACTAGGTGGCATGCTTGTTTTGCCTCCCTGCTGCAGGCAGCCCTCAGCAGGGGCTGAGGCTCGAGGAGACACACTTTTACGTCATCCCTGCTTTCAGTCCATTCCCAGCTCTCCTTCAGAGGCTGCTGAGTGGCTGGAGCAGCCACAGTTCAGTTTCTCCGTAAACCGCTTGTCTCACTCATGTGTGATCACCTGGATGTAAGGAGTTGGAGAAGACCCCAGGGAGATGCTTAATCCTATATCCAGTCCTTGAACGGACCCTTTTAAAAAAAAAAAAACCTCTCTCTCTCTCTTTTTTTTTTTTTTTTAATTTGAAAGCAGAGTTAACAGAGATTGTCCATCTGCTGGTTTACTCCCCAAATGGCCATTAATGGGCAGGACTGGGCCAGGCCAAAGCCAGGAATTCGGAGCTTCCTCCAGGTCTCCCACGTGGGTGCAGGGGCCCAAGCACTTGGGCTGTCTTCGGGTACATCAGCAGGGAGCTGGATCAGCAGCCAGATCTCAGGCTGGTGCCCATATGGGATGCCGGTGCTGCAAGTGGCAGCTTAACCTGCTACTCTACGCCAGCCCAGAACTGGCGCTCCTGTTCCTAGCTTGGCACTGTACCTTTTGTGGTACATTTGTGTTAACATTCCCCTCCTGTCTGTGGTTCTCCGCTACAGGCATTCAGGTGGTCTCCCTGTTCTGATAGGCAGTTACCACTTCTCCATCTGCGTCTCCTGGAAAACTGCTGGAGGCTTTCATTCACTGACTTCCACTCCTGTTCTCTGAACGCATGTCACTTTGTCTCAGTTCAAGGCTCATCTGCTGGGTGTTTTGCAGAAATTTCTTACTTGATGTTGGCCAGTATTTTTGGCACTTACATGCTTTTTTTATTTAATTATTTGTTTGAAAGGCAGAGTAACGGAAAAAGGGGGAGAGAGAGATTTTGCATCCGCTGTTTGACTCCCTAAATGCCTGCATAGCTGGGGCTGGCTGGGCCAGGCCACAGCCAGGAGCCATGAACTCCACTGGGTCTCCCACATGGGTGCCAGGAGTCCAAGTTCTTAAGCCATCTCTGCCGCTTTCCAGGTGCATTAGCAAGAAGCTGGGTTGGAAGCAGAGGAGCCAGGACTCCATCTAGCACTGCATTGTGGAATACAGGACATCCCAAGTGGCAGCTTAACCTGCGGTGCCACAGGACCCCACATTTTTATATTTCTTCCATATTTCCAGTTAAATATTCAGAGGGGGCAGGTAAACAAGTGGACTTAGTTTGCTTTCTTAGACTATTTTGAAATAACATATCTGTTGTCATAAAATCTTCAGGAGGGGAACTTGTAATAAGCTGAAAATACCTTGACCTTCTTAGCCTAAATTCTTTTCCACAACCATTTGAAGGTCATGAAGAAGGATATTTCACAGCTATAATGTTGAAGAAGTCCAGAGTGAAATTAAAAAGCCAAGAGATTATTCCTTTTCCAAACACCAAAATGATGAGGAATCTCTTGTGTGTGCATGTAAGTAATTTTTTAAAACTGACTTTTTTAAAAAAAAGAAGACTTTGTTTATAGTTCTATGGTGCTATTTTCTGAAAACCATTACCTTTAGATAAAAATTTGTTCTTTACATACAGATTGTTTTAAATAGTTTTAAAGAACTTTATAAGTTAACTTTTTACATACATTTTTAATATGGACACACTTGTAAAAATGGAGGTTTTTTTTTTTTTTTTTTTTTTTTGAGGAAATCAGAGCTAAAGATTTGTTTCTTTGTTTGAAAAGCAGAAATACAGAGAAAGGAGAAAGAGAGATCTTCCATCTACTGAATCACTCACCAAATGGCCACAACAGCCATAGCTAGCTAGGCCAAAGCCCTGCCAGGAGCTTATTCTGGGTCTCCCATGTTGTAGGGGCCCAAGCACTTGGGTCATCTTCTGTTGCTTTCCCAGACACGTAAGCAGGAAGCTGGATTGGAAGTGAAGCAGCCGGGATTGAACCTGAGCCCACAGGGGATGCTGGCACTGCAGGCAGAGGCTTAACCTTCTGTGCCACAGCACTGGCCCCTAGAATTCTTTTTTTTAAAGAGATTTATGTATTTATCTGTCTATCTTTGAAAGACAGAGTGACAAAGAGGGAGAGACAGAGAGGTCTTCTATCCACTCGTTTACTCCCCCAGATGGCTGCAATAGCCAAATCTGGGCCAGGCTGAAGCCAGTAGCCAGGAACTCCATTTGGATTTCCCACGTGAGTGACAGTACTTGGGCCATCTTCTGCTTTTCCAGGCACATTAGCAGGGAGCACTCTGATATGGGATACTGGTGGGACCCGCTGAGCCACAGTGCTGGCTGCTGGAATTCTTATATATATATAGTGACATCCTACAGTGTATCTTTTTTTAAAAAAATTATTCATTTATTTGAAAATCAGAGCTACAAAGAGAGAGGGAGAGACAGGGATCAAGATCTTCTATCTGCTTTTTCACTTGCCAGATGGCCACAATGGCCAGGGCTGGGGCAGGCCAAAATCAGGAGCCAGGAGCTTCTTCTGGGTCTCCTGTGTGGGTGGCAGAGGCCAAGCACTTGGGCCATCCTCCGCTCCTTTCCCAGACCGTTAGCAGGGAGCTGGATAGGAAGTGGAGCAGCCAGGACATGAACCGGTGCCCATATGTGGTAATAGTGTCGGTGGGCATCAGCTTTACCCCATATGCCACAACGCTGGCCTCCAGTGTGAGTATGTTAACGGCAAGTTAGACAATGAGAGAGAGAGCTGGACTGGAAGAGGAGCAACTGGGACTAGTACCCGGCGCCCCAACCAGGACTAGAACCCAGAGTGCTGGCGCCGCAGATGGAGGATTAGCCTAGTGAGCCATGGCGCTGGCCTGTGAATGGTTCTTAATTGTTCACTTAACTCACAGTTTTGAGTACTTGTGTGCCAGGCCCTTAATAATATAACAGTAAATAAGAATCCTCTCTGTTTGCAGATGACTCATGGCTTTGTAGGAGGGAAATAATTGTGGTTTAATTGAGTTTGTCCAGTATGCTGTGGGAGTCCAGAGGAGGAGCTACAGATGGCCCCGGGACACTGCGGGAGGGCTGATGGTGGAGGGCTGGAGTGCTAAGGAGGGTGGTGCGTGCTAAGCAGTCTTCTTTGGGGGCAGGACTAGCACCCTACACTTCTCTGGATGGGCACAGTGCTGATTATAGTTTCAGTCTGGTAAATATAAACCAGTGGATCAAGAAGGCTGTTGATTTTGTTACCAGTGTTCAGCCTTGGTGGTCAGTGGGCTGTTTCGGTGATGGTAATTATTTATCCTGTTGCAGGCGAGTGTGTCCGGGAATGAACTTTACCTTATGACGTCCCATTTGGAGAGCACCAGAGGCCACGCCACGGAACGAATGAACCAGTTAAAAATGGTCCTAGAGAAAATCCAAGAGGCTCCAGAATCGGCTACAGTTATATTTGCAGGAGATACAAATTTAAGGGATCAAGAAGTGAGTGACAAAGTCATTTTAATGTTCATGGACAAGCCGGTGCCGCGGCTTAACAGGCTAATCCTCCGCCTGCGGCGCCGGCACACCGGGTTCTAGTCCCGGTTGGGGCGCCGGATTCTGTCCTGGTTGCCCCTCTTCCAGTCCAGCTCTCTGCTGTGGCCTGGGAGTGCAGTGGAGGATGACCCAACTGCTTGGGCCCTGCACCCCATGGGAGACCAGGAGAAGCACCTGGCTCCTGCCATTGGATCAGCGCAGTGCGCCGGCCGCAGTTTCAATGAAACTATGAAGGCATGTGACGTCATTGGCTCATATAAATGCCGTCTCCTAAACTTCAGACTAATGTGGAGTAGCAATTTTGCCTTGTTTTTACTTTTTGAGTTTGAAGAACTACTAACAGGAATAACTGTGCCCAGTAGGCATTTAGCCTTCTGAGTTTTGTCTTCTGCCCAAAGGTAGGACCCTATTCATGGCAGAAGACAAGAGACAAAGCCCAATCTCTCCAGCTGTATTGATATTTTATATTATACCAAAATGTTTTTACTGTATATCTAATTATTTTGTATGTGCAATTAATAATTGATATTCTGATTGAAATGCCATACTTAGATGTTGTACTAGCCAAGACAACTTTGTATTTTTTACTTAGGTGTTTTTAAGATTTATTTTTATTTATTTGAGAGAATTATATTGAGGGAGAGAGAGATCTTCCCTCTGCTGGTTCTCTCAAATGCCTGCAACAGCTGGGCCTGCGCCAGCAGCCAGGAGCGTCTAACAGATCTTCCAGGTCTCCACACGGGTGGCAGAAGCCCAAACATTCGGGCCGTCTTCCACTACTTTTCCCAATCCATTAGCAGGGAGCTGGATCAGAAGTGGGGCAGCTGAGACACAAAAAGCCCCCACGACACCTTTTTAAACTAAAGGGGAGGGGCTGGCGTTGTGTAGAGGGTTCTGCTGCCTGTGACACCTGCGTATGGTATGAGGTGTGGTTTGTGTTTCAGCAGCTTCACTTTCGATCCAGCTCCCTTTAATGCACCTGGGAAGGCAGCGGAAGATGGCCCAGATACTTGGCCCCTGCTGTGCTCGTGGGAGACCCAGATAGAGTTCAGGGCTCCTGGCTGTAGCCTGGCCCATCTCCAGCCGTTTTGATCACTAGGGGAATAAACTAGTAGATGGAAGATCTCTCTGTCTGTCCTTCTGTCTCTCTACCTCTGCCTTTCAAATAAATAATTTTTTTTTTAAATTAAGAGGCAAAGACTGTGTAAATCTTAAAGCGTATTCTTTTTCTTTCCAGGTTGCCAAATGTGGTGGTTTACCCAGCAACATTCTGGATGTGTGGGAGTTTCTGGGCAAACCTAAGCATTGCCAATATACATGGGATACCCAGATGAACTCTAACCTCGGCATATCTGCCACTTGCAAGCTTCGTTTTGATAGAATATTTTTCAGAGCAGCAGCAGAAGAGGGCCACATTATTCCCCGAAGTTTGGACCTCCTTGGGCTGGAAAAACTGGACTGTGGTAGATTTCCTAGTGATCACTGGGGCCTTCTATGCAACTTGGACATCATATTGTGAAAGGCTTTTCAAATACAAGTTTTAAATATTCTGAGCAATTTTGTTCAAGATTTTTGCAAATGTAATTTCTATCCGTCAGGAAAGGTAAGTTTAACATGGAGAAATTAAGATACTGGATCATTGTTAAGAAAAAAAAAAGCTGTGACTTATTTTTGTGGATTGTTTCTTCAGAATTGAGACTTAAATATTTATTTACTAAAGCATACCTGTGTTCAGAATGAAAGGGCACAAAGCCTGTTGGAGCTTCTAACAGCGCTCAGAGCTGCTAACTGAATTCCAAGCAAGGCCACCCTGTCTCGGGCCAGCCTTTGTAGGATTTATTTTCCCTCAATCAGGCACCAAAATACTAATAATTTTGAAGTATGTCTTAAAATAAAGAAGAGGTTACAGAATCCTTGGAACTGGGTCTGTTCGTTATAGTTCACATATTGAGACCCCCTGAAATGTAAACAACGCCGGCATCTGACAGCTGTCCTGTATCAGACTCCGTCAGCTGACAGTACAGTACTTAATTTGTACACTGTACGTTAGGCCTTATGATCTAACATCCCAAAGCTCTAATTCATGTTTGTAATTATGTTGCCCACAGAGGCAAAGTTAGACTTTGATTATTAAAATCAGTTTCATGTCCCCACAGGACATTATTATTTTTTCCTAAGAGAAAAATAAATGTGTACAGAGAAACAGGCTTTTGGGTTTTGCTACTTGTAAAATGGAAATGTTTTACAGAGTGAATAAAGAGTATTTTTAAATGTGCTTTAAAGAAAAAATTCCCCACAGAAGAAATGTGCTGTAAATAAAGAGTTTTATAGTTTGCTGATGTCTTTGTGTTCGTGATGGGATTATTTTTGCTAGCTCCACTGCCACTACCTCCCCTTTGTGCGGAAGAAAGCAGCTTTCTGTGTTGTTACCACACCATGAGTATCCAGAATACATCTGCGTTCTTGGTATTAAAAGGAAACTCAGCTGGAATCACTCAGATGAGAAATGAGAGAACCGTATTTTCATCAGGAGCACCATAATCAGAACGCCTCAGAAGGTCTGACTGTGTACAGAATATTCCCTTTGTGGCGACAGTGGACACGCTTTATGTTCACTGTGACTTTAATCATTAAACAATAAACAACTGATGGTAATTTTTAGTAGCAGGCCTTATCAAGGTGATTTCTGTAGGAAAGGGTGGTTCTGGCATAAATTGTCTATTCACATAAATTGTTATTCACTTAAGTTGAAGAACTGTATCTCACACCACTTTACAGGAAACCCCTGAGATCAGTAAAAGTGATAGGCAGCCCGGTGTATTCTGTTAAATAAGGATTATCACATTGTTTAAAACCATGAGAACATCATTTCCTTTATATATCTCAGAGCAGCCACATGAAAATCTTCCTGTCTGTGTATCATGATGCAGAGATCTTAGAAACTAGCTGTAAGGAAAATGGGAAAAATCAAACCACTTAAGATTATTCATGGGCAGTAATCCTCAAACAATGAAAGAATTAATGTACTACAGGTTGAGTATCCTTAATTTGGAAATCCAAATTACTCCAAACTCTGATAAATGTTGAAGGCCCATGTGACACCTGACCTTGCATGCTGGGTTGTAGTGTTAGGCAGGAAGTTAGGTATGAGCTTATGTGTGTGTGACAAAGGCCTCCGGAGAAGACTTCTACGTCCAGCATATGCATCCACATCTCAAAGTCATCCCGATAATGTCTCAGGGGCAGCCCAGTGATAATGCTTCAGGGGCAGCCCAGTGTTCGCATCCTGCCCTGCCCCTTCTACCTGACAACCTGCCAGGTGGGGGTCCCTGCCCCTTCTGCCTGACGAATCTTCCACAATCTCCCAGATGCAGCCCAGTATCTGCATTTCAAACACTCTGCCCCATCCCCATTCTCTAGGGGGTCCTGCTCACCCTTCCTCTGAACCCAGGATGGCACCAGCTAGGCTTCCTCCTGTCTGATACCTTCAAGGGAAAACTCAGATAGGAGCTTCTTAATATTTACAGCCATAAAATCCTTTGTTTCAGGAGGAGATGTGTGAAGACAGAGACCCATCTCCTTAAAAACCCCCGGCCTCAACTGATGGGGCGCTCAGCCCTCTGCCTCTCTGCTGAGCCACCCGCCTGGTCTGGCCAGGTGTAATCTCCTCTCCACATGTAACCTCGCTCCCCCCCCACCCCCCAGTCTCTCAGGCTCTGAGAGATGTCCTTACGGATGTCCCTTCCCTAATAAACCTTGCTATTTTACCTCCCACTACTCTCTGTCTCACGCCTGAATTCTTTCTTGCGCGAAGACAAGAACCCTGCAATTTCTCCGGTAACAGTAGTAGATGCAGGATGGAGAAGGAGGAGGTATGGGTGTTTGGCCTGGTCTTTAAGTTGTTGGCTGAGACACCTGTGTCTCATGGTGGAGTGCCTGGGCTTGAGTCCCGGCTCCGACTTCTGACTCCAGCTTCCTGGTAACGCAGACTCTGGGATGCAGCCGGTAAATGGCTCTTCCGATTGTGTTCCCGCCAGCCATGTGGGAGACCTGGACTGAGCTCCTGGCTTCCAGCTTCAGCCCAGCCCAACACTGGCCATGGTGGCACTCGCGGAGTGAGTGAGTGCATGAGAGCTCTCCCTGCATCTCAATATTTTAAAAATGTAGGTGCACAAAAAAGATTGTACAAAATTGCCTTTAGGCTATGAGTATGCAGTGTATATGAACATGAATTTCATGTTTAGACATAGGTCCTATTCCTGCACATGCATACACGAATATTCCAAAAACTGAATGCTTCTGGTCTCAAGGAGTTCAGAGGAAAAAAAATCTGATTTGCACGATCTTGAGTTTTTTACTTTTAATCTTAAGTTTTTCTTGCTGACCTTTCCTCCCTTTTTAGAGAAATTCCAACTCAGAATCTTACATTTAAAAAAATGTATTTATTTATTTGAAAAGTAGAGTTAGAGATAGGGAGAGAGAGAGAGGGAGAGAGAGGTTTTCATCCTCTGGTTCATTTCCCAAATGGCCACAACGGCCAGAGCTGGACAGATCTGAAGCCAGGAGCCAGAAGCTTCTGCTGGGTCTCCCACAAGGGTGCAGGGGTGTGGGGGAGGCTGAATCCGGAGAGGCCTAGAGGAAACTTCCTGAGCCTACCTCCATTTGAAAACCTGTTTTTCAGTTTCAAATCCCTGGTGGCAAACAACCCAGCCCCAGGGTGCTTTTGCCTAATGATCATTAAGGAGGTATAATAGGGGTGGCTAAGACCCTTTTGCATCACAACACCCCACCCCTTGCCCGCATCCACTCTGTACCATCCGCTCTGTACCTCAGCTGTATATACACCTCCCTTTTACAATAAAGTGAGACCCTGCTTCGACTGGGCTCCCCACCACGTCTGATTGTCCCCCGGGTTTGGGGAAGGCTGAGTGGCCTGAGTGGCGGCGGGTGGTGCACTTCCCCTCCTCGGTCAAGGCAAGCTGCGGGCAGCCTGCCTAATTCGCTGGCGGTGGCGAGGAACAGTCACCGCACAGGGGCCCAAGGACTTGAGCCATCCCCATGGCCATCGCAGGCCATAGCAGAGAGCTGGATCAGAAGTGGAGCAGCTGGAACTACAACTGGTGCCCATATGAGGCAATGCTTTCATTGGCATGATGTGGATGTACTTTAACCTTGATAATGAAGGGAGCGGGCGAGAGCCGCCCTAAAGGTGGCCTTGATAAGATAGAAAAACAGGAACTTCGACCCAGTACTTTTCCACTGACTATACTTCCTCACCGCTCAACGACCCCCTCCCCTTGTCCAAGCTTAACAAAGAAAGGAAAGGCACGTAGGGCACGTAGCCACCCGTAGCCACCCGTTTCTCCTCCTCAATGACCCCCTCCCCTTGTAGTTGCCCAATGAACTCACGCCACCCTATGGTATGCTAATTTTGTGGTTTTGCCCCCCTTAAAAGCTGTGTGAGATAACTGCTCGGGGCTCCTCTCTTTCTTGCTGCTTGCGGCAGCAGAGGGCCCATTTGCGCAAATGAAATAAAACTACCTCTTGCTTTTTGCATCGCCTGGTCTGGAGTCTGTGTTTCTGGGGTCGTCACAAAAGGGCACCACTTTGGGGGTCCTTCAATAAATCTCAGTTTCTCCCCCCTTCATCACGACTGATTGTTGCTGTGCAGACGTCCCAACTAATGGGTATAAGCCAGAGGAGACAAAATGAGAAAAGCTGTACTAAGGATACTTCACTACCCTTAGTCCCTACTGTAGCGTCTGGCACGGAGCAGGAACTCAGCGAATGTTCACTGAGCTGAAGAGAAGCAGCCTGGAGTCTGGGCCCCAAGGAGGCAGAATGCTTTTTTCCTGTGAGGCCAACATGGATATAAGCATCACACACACACACACACACACACACACTCATACATACAGAGAGAAAGGTCCAGGACCACCGGTGACTTCATTTTGAGAGGCACTGGCGGCCTCTGGGGTGCCAGGTGAGAAGAGGGAGGAGGAAGTGCCTTGGGAGCTTCGGGCTCTGTTGGAGGATTCAGAGTCTCAGAAAGGGGAGGGCCGCAGCTGTTCCCAGCGTCAGAGGCATTTTGGGAGAACCCAGGGTTAAGGAGGCAGGGCTGGGGCCATGCTGAGTTGAAGGGAGGGTGGTGACTGGGGTTCCCGGTTCTGGGTGGGAATGACAAAGTGATGGGGGAGAAAGCAGCGATGATTCCAGGAGGGGCTTACACCCCACACGGCTGCGAAGGAGACGAGATTTCCTGTTAAGTTGGCCCCTGGCTCTGTGTCCCACCACTTCGGTCAAGAGCAGGACGGCTTTTTTTCCTATTTCATCCCAGCTGGTGTTCACTCTTTGAGTTTATTCTTTCAGGGTGCATTATCATTTAACTCCCATAATCATCCTGTGTGAGTACCTGCAGTTGTAGCAGAGGCAGCAGGTAAACAGGGTTACAGACCTGGTCCGAGGCTCCGCAGTAGCTGGGCAGTGTCCTGGTAGAGGCTTGTTCCTCAGGTCTGCGACACAGCCCTACACGCTGCACTCTACCTCTGCCCTAATACTGCGTTTCCCTATTGCTGGAAGGCAGTAAGAACGCAGACAAGAGGCTTCCACGCACGTTTCCGGTGTGGTTTAGGTTACCACCAGCCGCAGGTGCAAGTGCATTCGCGAGGCACCTGGAGTCGGTCTGGCTCGAGAGCCGCACAAACAATGGAGAGCGTGACAAAGGGGCCCAGAGGGCTCCGCAGGGAGAGGGGACCCAGTGGCGGAGTCGTTGGCCCAGCTTCCAGGAGACGCCTGGCCGGGCGCATAAAGGCAAAGGGGTGGCGCGAGGGTGCGCCGCAGGCAGCCGGTCCCTGGGTCCCAGGTGCGGGGCGCGGAGCAGTGTGCGCGTGCGCGCGCGTCGCCGGGGCAACCGCGCGGGGAAAGGCGCTGAATCACTGGCGAGCGCTCCGAGCGCGCGCTGCGCTCCGCTGCACCTGCTCCGCCCGGGCTCCGGAGCGCAGCGGCGAGCGCCGGCCCTGCAAGGTGGGGTCGCGGCGTTGGCCTCGCCAGCTTGCGGTGGGTAAGGGACTGAGCGCGGGACCGTGCTCGGGTGGGGCGCGAGGGCGTGCGTGTGCGCGTGAGTGCGCGTGAGCCGGCCAGGAGGAGCAGGTGCGGCGGCGAGCGATGCTCCCGCGCGCGGCACCGAGCGAGCCGGTGTCAGCGTCGCCAGCGGCCCAGGTACGGGTGTGGAGCCCTGCCCCATCCTGCTGGCCAGGGCCGCCGCAGGTAGAGCCCCGGGCGCAGGCTCTCCGGGACACGGATTGACTGTTCTCTTAGCGGGGTGGAGTCGGAAAGTGGGGCGTCTTTGGCCAGCCTCGTGAATGGCATTTCTTAGACCTGGGGAATCATTGTCTTTAAACTTAGTCTAGAACTACATGCCTGGTCATTTCTGTCATTTGCCGAATGCATCGCGTGTCTGGTCTTAACTAATTGAAGCTTAACAACCCCTTTAAGGGCGTCCTCGCCATCCCTTTCCGTTTCTTGTAAGGAATGTCACAGATCAGGAGCATAAATCTGAAACTATGAGAGTCAGCGTTGTTAAGAGCATCTGTTCCCTTCATTATATGGAGAGCAGAGACCTTTGGATGGCTGGTTGGTTTGTCTACATATTTTTGTTTGTGAGTTCTGTGTTAGCGTTTCCCCCAGTGTTTGAATAGAGAAGCTGAGTGAGTATTTTGATAATGATAGAAAAAATAAATGAAGACAACCCCCCAAAATACAAGAATTCTTGAAGCGAATATTAACTGTTGACTGATTCCTGAAATGTGTATCAGTGTCAAAAATGCTTCATTCAATGAGCTGTAGGAAGATCATTAATAAGACTACTGAAGTTATGCCAGATGTAACATTTTATCTTGTGCTTATTGTTATCTTATTTTAAACTACAAGTGAGAAAAAACTGGAGGTTTCAATTTAGTTGTAGACTTAGCCATAGCGAAAGCTGCATGTCATTTGAGAAAGAAAAACGTAAGCATATCTAGACTTATTAGAAACACAAGTGCTGGAAAGACTCCACGCTGCTTTGCTCTAAAATGCCAAGGCAGGCACTTAACTTCCCTTCAGACTAAGGAAAATAATTCAGCCAGTGTCCAAACAGAGGCACTGTCTTTACAGTAGAACCGCAGGTTCCATTTCTAGGAGAGGGAGAGCCTTGCACTTTGCCAAGCTGAGAGAGGCAGCTTGGATTTGGTCTTAGAGTCACACTTGGTAAATTCCTTAACCCCTCCAAGCTCCAGGTTCCTCATCTAAAATGTAGCGATAAGAAAAGGACCTGCTGGATGGAATTCTTATAGGAGTTACATAAATTAATTAAGATACCTAAGAGCTGTTCATTTACTGCAGCAATATTTCAATAAAAGTTGGAATTTTCAGAGATGTTTTCAGGAAATATTTTCCATGTGTTCAAAATAATTTGGCACTAATCATAGAATTTCTTTGTTATGACCAAAGCTTGTTCTGATTTGTAATGTCAAGACATCAGGAAATACATAAGACTTTCCTTAAAGCAAATTTATAACAACAACAACAACAATAATAATAATAAATTATCATAATCATGAAAGCCTGTCAATTTGACACCTCTAGGAGAGAGTTTTGCTTTTCTGGATGTGAAATAATTGATAACTTATTGTTCTACTTGTTTTTTAGAACCTGCATTTTTTTAAAAAAGATTTATGTATTTATTTGAAAGTCAGAATTACACACATAGGAGAGGCAGAGAGAGAGAGAGAGAGATCTTCCATCCGATGGTTTACTCCCCAGTTGGGAGTAAATGGCTAGAGCTTCACCAATCCGAAGCCAGGAGCCAGGAGCTTCCTCTAGTCCTTGGGCCATCTTCTACTGCTTTCCCAGGCCGCAGCAGAGAGCTGGATTGGAAGAGGAGCAGCCGGGACTAGAACCAGTGCCCATATGGGATGCCAGTGCTTCAGGCCAGGGCATTAACCCGGTGCGCCACAACGCCAGCCCCAGAACCTATATTTTTCAATACTATTTATGTGAATTCAATAATGACAAATTATTTTCTCAGTAAACATGGTTTGGACCAAAATATCATCTGTTTTTGCATTATTTTGTGTGTTTTTTTTTTTAATTTTTTTTACAGTAGGTGTTTTCAGTTTCAGAGTCAAGTTCTTAAAGCAGTGGCCAGAAATACAGCGAGGTATGGTGTTGGAGGTTGAGGTCTGTTCCTGTTCCAGATAATACAGAATTGTCTGCCGGAAGGGTTCAGTATTTAAGCAATGCAGCTGGAATCAGGATAACTCGGACCTCAAAAGAAACTTTGTATGACCTAGGTCGCCAGAGCTGTGGGTCACCAGGGTAAATTAACACCAGTGTTTCTGCTCACAGACCCTAAGACTTACAGTTGCCAGAATGTGTTTTCACATGGTAATGGGAAACTATGGCTACCCCCTTCCTGGGATGAGCATCCTAAAAGTCCAGGATTGTGATTATATCCATCCTATCGTGTTTTGCCTTCATTGTTAAAGTGAGGTACAGGATATATAGATGCACTGTCTTATGTCTCAAAATAACTGTCTTGTGTCTAAAAAACACTGTCTTGTGTCTCAAAATAACCTCTTCTTGGGACCAGCGTTGTGGCAGGGGTGGGGGTGGGGTTAAGCTGCCACGTGCAGTGCTGGCATCCCATACGGGCGCCGGTTCGAGTCCCAGCTGCTGCATTTCCCATCCAGCTCTCTGCTGATGCTCCTGGGAAGACAGCGGAAGATGGCCCAAGTGATTGCACCCCCGCCGCCCCCGTGGGAGACCAGGATGCAGTTCTCAGCTCCCGGCTTTGGCCTGGCTCAGCCCCAGCTGTTGTGGCCATTTGAGGAGTGAACCAGTGGATGGCAGATCTCTTTCTCTGTCCCTCTCTCTCTGTAACTCTGGCTTTCAAATAAGTAAGTAAATCTTTTCTAAAAATCTCTTCTATTTTTTTAAGGTTTATTTATTTTATTTGAAAGGCAGAGTGTCAGAGAGGCAGAAAGAGAGAGAGACTAAGAGAGAGAGAGAGGTCTTCCATCTGCTGGTTCGCTCCCCAAATGGCTGCAATGGCCGGAGCTGCACCGATCTGAAACCAGGAGCCGGGAGCTTCTTCTAGGTCTCCCACACAGGTGCAGGGGCCCAACGACATAGGCCATCTTCGTCTGCTTTCCCAGGCCATAGCAGAGAGCTGGATCGGAAATGGAACAGCTGGGACTGGAACCAGTGCCCATATGGGATACCTGCACTGCAGGTGCGCCAGCCCCCCAAAATGTTTTCTTTTCAATGAAATTATTACCTTTGTCCTCTCAATCAGTATTATGAGAATACTTCAAAAAGTTCATGGCAAATGCATATCATGAAAAAACTGCATGGATTTAAAACATTTTTAAAAAGATTTATTTATTTATTTGATAGGTAGAGTTACAGAGAGAGACAGAGAGAAAGGTCTTCTATCCGATGGTTCACCCCACAAATGGCCACTATGGCGGGAAGTACGCTGATCCGAAATGCCTCCTCCTGGTCTCTCATGAGGGTGCAGGGGCCCAGGCACTTGGGCCATCCTCCACTGCCTTCCCAGGCTACAGCAGAGAGCTGGACTGAAAGAGGAGCAACCAGGACTAGAACCTGGCGCCCATATGGGATGCCGGTGCCGCAGGCAGAAGATTAACCTAGTGCGCCATGGAGCTGGCCCTGGATTTAAAACATTTTTTTTCACCAAAATAAACTTATCTTTAAATTCTGGTTGTCCAGGAACTTTTTGAAGTACCTCATATTTGTACTTATGGGTTGCTGAAACATTTTATTAATTTGTTATCGTCAACCTCCTTGTTTTAAAGTTGCTAGATTTCCAAATTCTGGATGCCAGAAGCTCAACATTTTATGGTAGTGTGGGAAAGGACTTCTCCTATAGTATGTGTCATGTGCACAGGCTAACTGGTCTTTCCTGCTCACCTGGGGCTTTCCTGTACACCACTCAAATAAATAAATAAATAAATAAAATCTTAAAAAAAAAAAAAAGACACTGGTTAGGATGACCATTCCTGCACAGAGGGCCTAAGCTGGATTTTCCTTCCAGGCTTCTGACTCTCACTTCCGGTTAACGTGGGCCCTGGGAGGCAGCAGGTGATGGCTCAGGTGGCTGGGTCTCTGACACTCCCATGGGAGATGTGGATTGAGTTCCTGGCTTTGACTTGACCCAGTCCTGGCCACTGTGGGCACGTAAGGAGCAAACAAATAGAATGTAGCTCTCTCTCTGACTCTCAAATAAGAAAAAAAAAATGCAGAATTTTTCTCAGGCACCACCCCAGACCTCCTGAATCAGGATCTGTAGTTTTTTTTTTTTTTAAAGATTTATTTTATTTATTTGAAAGCGTTACAGAGAGAGGTCTTGCATCTGCTAGTTCACTCCCCAAATGGCCACAACAGCCAGAGCTGAGCCAGTCTGAAGGCAGGAGCCAGGAGCTTCTTTTGGGTCTCCCACGTGGGTGCAGGGGCCAAAGGACTTGGGCCGTCTTCTGCTTTCCCAGGCAATAGCAGGGAGCTGGATCAGAAGTGGAGCAGCCAGGACTTGAACCAGCACCCATATGGGATGCCGGCACTGTAGGCCGGGGCTTTAACCTGCTGCACCACAAGGCCAGCCCCAGGAACTGTAGTTATTTGTATTTATTGGGGTCTCACTAGACCCAAATCCAGTTCAGTTGAGTGCATTCTCACCTGGAGGCTGTGGGGAAGATTCGCTTTTCCAATTCATTCCAATTGTTGGGAGAATCCAGCCCCTTCCAGTGTAGGGCTGATGTCCCCATTCCGTTCTGGTTCTCAGCTCCTGTAGGCTGCAGTCAAGCTGTTTCCATGTGGCCCCCTCCATCTCCCAAGCCAGCAATGCCGTGTTTCATATATAGAATTTATTCTCTCTGTTACCGGCTACAGAAAAATCTCTGCTTTTTAAAGGCTCGGATAATAGGTTAGCACTACGTGGACAATCTCTCCATCCTGTTAAAAGGAATTGTTTATTTTTGATTTGAGCGGTAGAGGGGGAGAGGGAGGGAGAGAAGGGAAGGAGACAGAGGCAGAGAACTGCCGTCTTTGGGTTCCCTCAACAAAATGCCTGCAAGAGCCTCTGTCTGGGGCTGAAGCCAGGAGCCAGGAACTCACTCCCACGTGGGTGACAGGGACCCAGCGACTTGCACCATCACCTGCCTTCTCGCAAGGTGCATATTAACAGGAAGCTGGAATCAAGAGTGGACCCAGGACTTGAACCCAGCCACTCTGATATAGGATATGGGCATCCCAAGTGTGTCTTAACTGCTGGGCCAAATACACACCGCTAATCTCCCTTTCTTAGAGCCAACTGGCTGGTAACCTTAATTATATCTGAAAAATTTCTTCTGCCATACACTGTGTCATAATTGTGGGAGGAATCAGGGAATGACCATCACGGGGCCATCGTAAAATTCTTCCCAGGGGCTGGTGTTGTGCTTACTGGCATCGCTTATCAGAGTGCTGGTTCAAGTCCCGGAGGCTCCTCTTCCCATTGAGCTCCCTCCTAATGTGCCTGAGAAGACATGGAAGATGGCCCAAGAATTTTGGTCCCTACCCCCATGTCGGGGGCCCCGGTGGAGTTCCTGGCTCCTAGACCTGGCTGTTGTAACCATTTGGGGATTGAACCAGTGGATAGAAGTTGTATATTTCCGCCCCCCCCTCCCTCCTCCCTTTCCTGCCCCCTTCTCTGTTGCTCAAATAAATGAATCTTTCAAATAATAAATCTTAAAAGAATTCTGCCTGTTGCACCTGCTGAAATTTACTGCTTGTTTCCCCATGACTGCACCGTGAGCGCAGGAAAACTCATGTTTTAGTCTTCATGTGATTTTCTTTCTTTGGTCTTGTTACATCTAGCAATATTACTGTGTCTCACCCTGTATGGGCCAAATTGTTCTCTAGGACGTAGAATACATGACAGAAAAAGAGACTACAGCAGATTAAACAGGGTTCATTGTAGACTTGAGTTGTGGCCGAGCAGTGTGTGTTACAGGGGGTTTGCTGAAGGAGGGTCCAGGTTGCTAGAAGTTCTAGTCGGAACCATTTTGTTCATCTATGTATTTCTGACGGTTAGTGCTACGTTTACAACACGTGTCAAGTATATGCTTTCTGGAGAATATGCATCCCTCTATGGAACTTGGCTATTTTTATGTTTGCCTTTTCTTTGAATTCTTTAATTGTTTTAAATAAATTTGAAACTGATATTCCCCCTCATCTTCATTTTTTAAACTTAATTAAAAGTTCATTCACATTAATTGTTTTGCTTCTGTTTTGAGCATTGAAATAAATTCTCCTAATTGGTAATATATAGTTGTGATAGCGTTAAGTAGTAATTCCTATCCCATTGTTTTGTGACTATTAGTTTGTCATATAGCAGGCCCTAACAAAAAGTTATTTTGGCTTTTGTATTTTAGATGATTTTGTTTTATAATGAGTGCTAGAATCTATCATGGCTTTTTCTCCTCATTTCTCAAATATCCTTCCATAGTTTTGCCTATTTATTTTTTCAAGTGAGTATTTTTTTAGATGAATTATTTAAAAAAGATTTTATTTATTTCTTTAAAAGGCAGACTTGAGAGAGAGACAGGGAGATCTTCCATCTTCTGGTTCACTCCCCAAATGGCCACAATGGCGAAGGCTGGGACTGGTGCTGAGCAAGTCTCTAGCCAGGAGCTGGGGGCTTCATCTGGGTCTCTCACATGGGTGCAGGGGCCCAAGCACTTGTGCCATCCTTCGTTGCTTTCCCAGGCCATCAGCAGGAGCTAGATTGGAAGTGGAGCAGTCGGGACTCGAAACCAGCGGCCACACGGGATGCCGGCATCACAGGCTGCTGCACAGTCTGCCACACCACAATGCCGGCCCCTCGAGTGAATTTTATCAAGTCCTTTAATGCATTCTGTTGAGTTTTACCCCATCTTTGCTGCTTTGTTAGCCCAACATGTTGCTGTCTTTAACACGTGTTGTCTCTTTCTGCTTAAGCAAAGCTACACTCCCATTTATTCGTGTCTTCCAGGCTCTGTCCCAGTAGTTTAGACCTGTATTTGTTAAAGGGCTCTGTCAGTGCATCCGTCACCCTGGGCCTGCGCGATGCTGCTGGCCCTGCCAGGGACTGGCTCTCCGCTGAGTTCTCCTCCATGCCTGTGCGTGCAGGGACCCCGGAGCTCCCGTGCACTCTGCAGGTCCTCCAAAGCCTGCCGCTGGGGCTTCTCTTAGTTCCATGGGCTGGACGAGGAGGAGGCATCATGTGATCAGTCTCTCCCCATCTCCCAGACAATCTGACCCTTTGAAAGATGGAGAAAGAGGCCGGCGCCACGGCTCACTAGGCTAATCCTCCGCCTAGCGGCGCCGGCACACCAGGTTCTAATCCCGGTTGGGGCCCCGGATTCTGTCCCGGTTGCCCCTCTTCCAGGCCAGCTCTCTGCTGTGGCCAGGGAGTGCAGTGGAGGATGGCCCAGGTGCTTGGGCCCTGCACCCCATGGGAGACCAGGAAAAGCACCTGGATCCTGGCTCCTGCCATCGGATCAGCCCGGTGCGCCCGCCGCAGTGCGCCAGCCGCGGCGGCCATTGGAGGGTGAACCAACGGCAAAGGAAGACCTTCCTCTCTGTCTCTCTCACTGTCCACTCTGCCTGTCAAAAAATTAAAAAAAAAAAAAAAAAAGAAAAAAGAAAGATGGAGAAAGAGGGTTTGAACGTTTTTCCTCCCGGCCGTTCCCGGCTTTCTCTTTGGCTCTCCCCAGCACCTGCTGACTCCTTGAGCCCTTGCTGTGTATAAAGCCCAGCCCCAGGCCACGGTCCCCTAATTCTGCTCCGTCTCCTGATGGGGAGTCATCCTACGCTGCCATGGTAGGGCTTTATGCCTGCTGCCAGGGAACTCCGCAGCGTGCCTCTGTGATGATTGGCACGGCTTTGCCAGAACTTCTTTTGCTTTATCCACTTTCAGAGGAGAAGGTCGGAGCGTGGAATAATAGTACTGAAAAACCGTGAGTGTTTTACCCTCTTGGTGTGGCTTCTGGCTATGTGCGTTTTCTGCATTTCCTGGGCTTTATCTCCTGGCTTATTGGCGAGGGTTTTGCAGCTTGGGAGCCTTTGAGCTACAGCGGTGAGTGGGACCACTGTGCATAGTTGCTAGCCTTCTGCTGGCATATTTTCTTTATTTTTAAAAAAATTTATTTTATTTATTTGACAGGCAAAGTTAGAGAAAGAGACACACACACAGAGAGACCACCTGTCTACTGGATTGCTCCCTAGATGGCTACAATAGCTAGAGCTGGGCCAGGCTGAAGCCAGGAGCCAGGAGCTTCTTCCAGGTCTCCCATGTAGGTGCAGGGGCCCAAACACTTGGGCCATCTTCCACTGCTTTCCCAGGCCACAGCAGAGAGCTGCATCGGAAGTGAAGCAGCCGGGACTCAAACCAGCACCCATATGGGATGCCAGCATTGCAGGCAGCAGCTTTACCCATTATGCCACAGCGCCGGCCGCTGGACATTTCATATAAATGGAACCATACAACGTGTGGCCTTTTGTCTGATTTCTTTTGCTTAGTATAATAGTGTCTAGGTTCAGCCATGTTGGAGAAGGTACTTCATTTTTTTTTAATTGCCAAATACTATTCTATTGTGTGGCTACATTCCATTATGTTTATCCATTCTAAAACTGATGGATTTATTTCCAGTTTTTATCTGCTATGAATAATGCTACTGTGAATGTTTGTGCACAGGTTTTCATGTGCATGTGTATTTTCAGTTCTCCTGGGTATATACCTAAGAGGGGAGTCGCAGCTCTGTGCTTTATCTTCAAAGAACTATGAAATTCGTTTTACAAAGCAGCTGCATCATTTTACACTCCCGCTAACAATGTATGAGGGTTCCAAAGTTCTGTACGTCCACACCAATGCTTGTCATTTTCTTTTTACTTTAATTATTTGAGAGGCAGAGAGACAGAGGGAGAGAGTTTGCATCCACTGGTTCACTCCCCAGGTGCCACATTAGCCAGGACCTGGGCCTAGCCTGACGCCAGGTATCAGAAACTCCATCCAAGCCTCCCATGTGGGTGGCAGGAACCCAACTACTCGAGCCATCACCCTGCCTTCCAGGGTCTGCGTTAGCAGGATACTGGAGTCAAGAGCCAGAGCCGGAAGTCAAACCCAGGCCCTCCCATGTGGGGTGAGGGTGTCTTTTTTATTTTTTATGTATTTATTTATTTGGAAGGCAGAGAGAAAGTGACTGACAGATCTCCCATCTGCTGGTTCACTCACCAAATGCCAATACAGCTAAGGCTGGGTCAGACTGAATCCGGGAGCCAGAAACTCAATCCAGGCTTCTATCTATGTGACGTGACATGGTTCTGTTTTATTGTCTTTCAATCTAGGATGTTTGGAGTTTACTCTTCCTACTTGTTCCGACTAGAACCTCCAGAACAATCTTGGAAGAAAGTGAAGAAAGCAGAAACCCTTTTCTTGGTCCTACGCTTAGGGAGAAAGCTTTTAGCCATTCACCATTACATATGATGCTTGCTATGGATTTTCATAGATCCTGTTATCAAGTTGAGGAATCAATAGCTATTTGAGAATGGGTAAATTTTAATATAGTTCTTTTTATAAACAATTTTTTAAAGATTTATTTATTTATTTGAAAGTCAGAGTTATACACACACACAGAGAGAGAGAGGGGTTCCATCCACTGGTTCACTCCCCAATTGGCCGCTATGGCCAGAGCTGCACTGATCTGAAGCCAGGAGCCAGGAGCTTTTTCTAGGTCTCCCACATGGGTGCAGGGACCCAAGGACTTGGGCCATCTTCCACTGCTTTCCCAGGACATAGCGGAGAGCTGGATGGTAAGTGGAGCAGCCAGGTCTCGAACTGGCGCCCATATGGGATGCCAGCACTTCAGGCCAGGGTGTTAACCCACTGCACCACAGCGCTGGCCTCAATAGAGTTCTTATAATCATGTATCCGTCACGATTTCTGCCCTGGGGGATTGTTCATTAGTGCACCCATCCCTAACAGATGCTGTGAAGGTACTTCTGCAATTCCTCTTGTTTTTGCTTTTAAAGCTTTGCATTTCACATTTAGGCTTATAATACATGTAAAATGTATTTCATAGAAAGTACTAACTCAGAGATGCCAACCCTGTCATCTATCAATTTTCCCAGTGCCAGTTGATAGCAATGTGGAAGGACGACAGGAGTTGTCCCAGGGTTGTGCACTGTATGGCTGCTCCAGCAAAGGGAGGGGGACTGCTGGACAGGGCAGGACCAAATGGCCACCACCCTGGGTCCTGTGTCACCCACATTGCATGGCACATAGCAGGCGGTCAGCAGGGACTAAGGACTTCAGTTCTGCTGTAGTTGGAACATTTGTTCCCCTCAGCCTAGCCCCAAAGTCTAACATTAATGGCACCAAGAGGGTAGAAACTTAATCCAATTATGGTGTTCAGAGTGGCTGCTTTCCCAGGCCATGGCAGAGAGCTGGATTGGAAGTGGAACAGCTGGGACTCGAACTGGCGCCCATATGGGATGATGGTACTGCAGGTGGCGGCTTTACTGGCTATGCCACAGCACCGGCCCCAGCGTCCCATATCTTAGTGCCAGTTCAGTCCTGGCTGCTCTGCTTCCAACTAGCTTCCCGCTAATGCACCTGGGAAGGCAGTGGAAGATGGCCCAAGTGCTTGGGTCCCTGCGCCCATGTGGGACACCAGGATGGAGTTCCCGGCTCCTGGCTTTGGCCTGGTCCAGACTTGGCTGTTGCAGCCATTTAGGGGATTGAATCAGGAGATGCATGATTCTCTCTCTCTCTTTCTCTCTCTCTCTGTGTGTGTGGGGATTGATTCTGCCTTTAAACTGGCTCTCATTTGGAATGCAGGTGTTGTAAGTGGTGGAACACGCAGTGCTGCCGCCAGTGGCTCGAATAAATAAATCTTAATAATAAAAAAACCTGCCACCTTCTGAGAACCACTAGTGCCGCTGCCATGGTGCACGATGCCACCCTCTACCAGGACTCCTGTAGCGTCTCCCACATCGCCTCTGCCTCTGCCTCGCCCTCCACTCTGGGCTCCAGGCGGGGGTCCCTTAGAGCTTCCCACCCACCTGAGAGCCAGAGGTCCCGACCCGTTCCCTGCTCCGGGTCGTCTCCTGCCTCCCTCCCCGACCTGCTCCTGCAGCACGCCCTCCTCCCGGCCTCTGCCTGGGACTCAGCTCAGCAGCCCGTGGGATCCTCTCCCTCTTCCCTCTGCTCTTGCAAGCTTTTGCCTATCTGTGACCTTTAATTCATCACTTGTGTCTTCAGCAGTGTCTTATCTGCAGCGTGCCCATCCACCGAGCTTTCAATAGCAAAAGTGATGGCTCTTGATTTTTACAAGTTGCACCTGATTAGGTTACTTTTCAAATCTTCCAGGATTTCTTTTAAAGCTGTACCTTACTACTTCTCTTATTTCTTTAACATTTTAAGCAGCTAATTTCATTTTTGTACTCCAGAATTCCATTACCTTAAACCTTTGGGGCCTGATACTGTTGTCTGTCTTTCCTGTTGCATTTCTCCAGGGTGCCTGTGTTTTATAATTTTGCACTGTGAGTTCGGGTTTGTCCGGAGTCGCTCAGGGATTGGGGAGTGTTCTTCCAGGAAGGATCTGTGGTCGCCTCTGACAGGTGCCCATGGCGCAAGCATTCTGGACCACTTTCAGTAGATTTCTCCCTTGGAGGATGGTGACGTCAATTCAGCAATGAAAAGTAGAGCCCAGAGCCATGGGAAGCAAATCTCAAGGGGGGAGTTTTTCTTCATACAGAGCCCGTAGCCAGATTTTTTTTTTTTTTTTTTGGTGGCCCCCACACAAGGTTCTACCTCCTAAAGGCTTCTGGCTTTATAGGGTTCTCTAGTTCCTACTGCACACCTTGAATGTCACCTCAGCCTCTCTGCAGCACAGTCTGCTTCCCACCTGGCCACTGGCTCCCTCGTCCTCTTTGCCTCAGGGCATAGCCCTTGCTCTCTTATGAGCGCAGTTCCATATTTAAAAACATGCTTATTGTATGTTCTCCGCGATCTCGAGAGTTTCTTTAATCCATGCATAGGTAATACTATATTTTCAGTTTTTAAAATTTTTTAAGATTTATTTATTTGAAAGAGTTAATGAGAGGCAGAGGCAGAGAGAGAGAGAGTCAGAGAGGTCTTCCATGCACTGGTTCACTCCCCAGATGACCGCCACAGCTGGAGCTGAGCCAATCCGAAGCCAGGAGCTTCTTCCAGGTCTCCCATGTGTGTACAGGGGCCCAAGGACTTGAGCCATCCTCTGCTGTTTTCCCAGGTACATTAGCAGGGAGTGGATTGGAAGTGGAGCAGCTGGGAGTTGAACCGCCACCCATATGGATGCCAGTGCTACGGGCCAGGGCTTTAACCTGTAGCACCATAGCGCCAGCCCCCACCATACGATCTTTAGTGCTTAGATCATCCAAGTGTCTTCATGGTAATACATTATGGGGATAGACAATAATATTTAATCATACTCTGTTGTTGGACATTTGTGGTTTTATTTTATTAATATTTTGCTATTAACAAGGCCAAGTTTATTAGATTTTAAAAATTATCATTTATTACAAGATTAGATCCTTCTACTTCTATGGTATTAAGATATCAACTTGTATTTTAAAGGTTTATTTATTTTGAAAGTCAGAGTTACATAGAGAGAGGGAGAGAGATCTTCCATTACTGCTTCCCTTTCCAAATGGCTGCAACAGCCAGGGTTGGATCAGGCTGCAGCCAGGAGCCAGGAGCTCCATCTGAGTCTCCCAGGTGGGTGGCAGGGCCCCGGATTTGAGCCGTCTTCTACTGCCTTCCAGATGCATTAGCAGGAAACTGGATGGGAAACAGAGCACCTGGGACTTGACTGGCGCTCATATATATATAGGATGCCAGCGTTGCAGGTGATGATTTAACCTGCTGTGCTACAACACTGGCCCCCACAACAGTACACATGTGGGAAAGTAAGCAAATAACCCAATGAGAACTTTATTAACTGTAAGAAAGATAAGGGGCCAGCACTGTGGTATACCGGGTAAAGCCGCCTCCTGAAGTACCGGCATCCCACGTGGGCGCTGGTTGGAGTCCCGGCTGCTCCACTTCTGATCCAGCTCTCTGCTATAGCCTGGGAAAGTTCTCTGCTAGGACCTTGGACCCCAACACCTGCGTGGGAGACCCAGAAGAAAATCCTGGCTCCTGGCTTCAGATCGGCACAGCTCCAGCTGTTGCAGCCATCTGGGGAGTGAACCAGCAGATGGAAGACTTCTTTCTTTTTCTCTCTCTGCCTCTGCCTCTCTGTAAATCTGTCTTTCAAATAAATAAACAAACAGACAAAACTCTTTCAGACAAAGACGTATGATTATGTGGGCTTATTAGTGAAGAATATTTACATAGTGGTTGTAAAGTTACCCTATGGAAAACAGAAGTTATTTTAAAAGTGTACATTGCATTGTGTATAGGTTTTTGAAAATAAACTGTAATAAATAACCTTAAACATTCTGTTAGTGGGAGCAGTGTGCTAGTGTTTAAGATGCTGGTTGGGACATCTGTATCCCGGTCTGAATGCTTGGGGTCAAGTCCGGACTCTGCTCCCAGTTACAGCTTCCTGTTGGTGCTTATTCTGGGAGACAGCAGATGATGACTCCAATAGTTGGGTCCCCACCGCCCACCTGGGACACCTGGCTGTGTTCCCAGCTAGTGGTCTGGTCTCGCCATCTCTCCAAAAGTTGCAGGCTTTTGGATACTGAACCAGTAGATGAGAGCTCTGTATGTCTCTCTTTGTCTGTTTCTCTCAAATAAACCTTGGAATAAAAATTAAACTGCAATAAAATAAACTATTAAGTAAATTATCCACCTCAAAAATATCACGGTAAGGGGCTGGCATTGTGGCACAGTGGGTTAAGCCACCTGCTGTGAGTATTGGTTCCAGTCCCGGCTGCTCCACTTCTGATCTAGCTCCCTGCTAATGCACTTGGGAAAGCAGCAGAGGATGGCCCAAGTACTTGGGCTCCTTCTGCACATGTGGGAGACCTGGATGAAGTTCCTGTCTCCTGGTTTCAACCTGGCCCAGCCCTGGCTGTTGTGGTCATTTGGGATGAACTGGTGGCTAATGTGCTTCACAGGCACCTTAGCAGGGAGCTGGATCAGAAGTGGAGCAGCTGGGACACTAACCTGCACCCTTATGGGATGCCAGCACCACAGGTGGCAGATTTACCTGCTATGCCACAATGTTGGCACTGACTACAATTAATTTTTTAAAACCACCTCAAGAAGACCATACTGAGCCTTTAATATTGCTAATTGAATTTTTAACACATCCTCAATTTTGACACCATTTTTGCAAAGCCTTGTATCCAAACAGTATTTCAAGGTTGTAAAACGAGGTCTTAAGACATAAAGGTCTTTAATGTCCACAAAATCTTCAGTAGACTTGGAAAATGATAGATTTTCAGTTCTCCTAGAAGTCCTGCCTTGCTTAGAAGAGAGTTGCTTGTCCTATTTCCGACCTTATTTTTTCTTGAGTTAAAAGGGGCACTCTCCTTTTGACACCAACTACAGCTAGAACCAGAAACCACCACAGAGCTACGTGTTAGTCTGTGGCCGGGCACTTTGTAGAGAGATGAGGTGTCTTCAGCGCACAGTTGTGAGATTTGAGAGTGTGACACCAGCATGTGTCTGGTTCTGGCGTGCTCTCTCTGGCTGCACTGAGAGGGAGAAGGTCAAATGCTAAGGCAAAAAGCCTGAGGGACTCAGGGATCAGACACGGTCTTTCTGCACAAAGCAGCTCCGTGAGAGCTAACGCATTGCGTGAGACCTGCATTAATCCCGGCTCCGGGAGATGCCTCCCTGACTCACCCCCAGCCAGCACCTCTCACGCCTGCACACTGGGGCCACGCTTCTGGGACACGAAGCCTCAGGGACCATTGCAAACTAAGAGAAGGAGGGAGGCAGGATTCGTGTGCGTCTGTGTGAGGCGTGGTATGAGCTGGCCAGGTCTTCGTCTTGCATAGTAAGATGTAAAAGACAGTGTTCGGAGTGGAAAGAAATGAAGAAGTAATGATATGAACTCGGTGGTTTAAAAGGAAGAAATGGACAGAAAGGAGAGAGAGGAGAGTTGAAGTGATCGGTTCCGTCTTCAGGGTAGGTGTGGGGGAAGGGCTGAGGCCATGGAACTGCTGTTTGTAGCATGGCTTTGCCTTTAAAAGCAACCACTGTAAAAATATCACTGGACTTCGTCCCATTATCCAAAGTAAAAATACATGCAGCACACTCTCTCAGAAGGCTCCCTCCCACCTGGCCCACTTTCCTTTCTGCCTTCTCTACTCCTAACTCCTTCTCTTCTTTTATATTCTTTCAGGACATTTTTGCAACTAAGGTGAGTAGAAATGTATCTGTCCCTCTCTTCCTCATGAGAGAGCGTGCTGTAGACCCTGACCCTGGTCTTTTCTCACTCTGTCTAAAGCTATCGGTGATACCCGGGGTGACTCCCGCGGCACAGCATCTGGTTTACCCAATGCATTGTCATCTGCTGAGCCAGGCTTCTGCCATATGCTGCCACTGGACGCCTGGGCTCTGTCCAGCCTCTTGGTGCTATTCATAATGCTGCAGTGTGCCCGTGTCATTTCAAGTGTAAGCAAATAAAAGGAAGTGGAAAATGTGTAATATAATTTGTCAAAAATTCATAATTTGCGTGTAAATAGTGTATGTCACGGTGAGTTATTCAGAGGACAAGTTAGCATTCATGTATTTCTCCAAGCATCCACTCGGCAGATCAGAGCTCTGGCTCCTCCAGTTTCCCAGGCTGTAGTCACAGCCAGTCGAAGCCCGGCACTTGCCCTCACAGTGTGCTGCTGGGTGATGATGTCATTGTGAAGTCACGTGGCAAAGAGGAGGAATGACAGTGAGCGGTGGCTGGCAAGATAACTGTCATTCACTGTGCCACACCTCATTGCTTGTGTTTTCTGCAATAAGTAGTTATTGCCTTTGTAAATTAGAAGAATGCTCAGCTTTTGTTTTTAAGATTTTATTTATTTATTTGAAAGTCAGAGTTACACAGAGAGAGAAGGAGAGGCAGAGAGAGAGAGAGAGAGAGAGAGGTCTTCCACCCGCTGGTTCACTCCCCAAATGGCCGCAACCGCTGGAGCTGTGCCGATCCGAAGCCAGGAGCCAGGAGCTTCTTTCCATTCTCCCATGCAGGTGCAGGGCCCAAGGACTTGGGTCATCTTCTGCTATCCCAGGCCACAGCAGAGAGCTAGACTGAAGAGGAGCAACCGGGACTAGAACTGGCACCACAGGCAGAGGATTAACCTAGTGCGCCGCAGTGCCGGCTCCAGATGCAGATGCATAAGGTAGTGCATCGTGGTGGAAGGAACATATTCTCTGGTGTCAGATATACTCAGATGAGGTCCAATTTTTGGCAGCCTTAGCCTTTCTGAGCCTCCATTTCACCACGCATAAAATGGGGATGATAATATGTAATTGGGTGTTTAATTTTTTTTAGACAGAATTTAAAATAATGCATGGGAGATGCCAGGGACCCTGAAATAAATGGTGGTTTCTACGAATATTCATCATGCAAGCCGGGATGTGTCCGGAGGAGGGGCAGTGATACAACTTGGAGGCGGTGTTTGCCGGAGGTTAGCAGGTGGGCGACACCACTGGGAGAATGGGGGATGCAAGAACGCAGGAGGCGGGTGGGGGACGGACCTGAGAACACTGGTTCCTTCCATCCGAGTCAGCCTGGGTAACAGGCGTGCAGTCGGTCGGGGCCGCGAGGCACCTCGGGCCATTCCTGCTTAGACCTGTGATTGTTGGTCACAGCTACGGAGACTTTTCCTGAGATCAGAAGTGAACTGAACTGCAGTGAAATGCAAAGAGGACAGTGTGAGTCATGCATTTCTTCCTCCTCTCCACAGGATAGTTCTGGGCAAACCTCACCAAAAAACAAGGCAGTTAAGAAGTAAATAGCAGATTCTGGCTGTGGAGGATCCTGGCTGTCATCACATGCTGCAGTTTTTTTTTTTTTTTCCCCATACCCTGGGTTCCAGCTGGGATGAAAGCTGTTAGCCTGCTCAGAAAAATAATTTGGTTCCAAGTAACGTGCTAACTCCATTCCTTTGAAATAAAGATCACGGATTCAAAAAATCAAAAATTAAAATAAAACCCCTTTTTTCCCTGTGACTTGTTTCCTAGGTCTTTCCCTAACTTTGGTTCTTTCACTCAAATGATGGTACCTCCCGATGTCTCTTCTTCCGTTCGTCCTTCCATTAAGGGATTGCTGAAGGCCGCGCAGGCTCAGGTGTCAGCTGGAATCTGACCGACCAGTTCCTTCTGGGAGTGCAGGGCACCTGGCAACGCTTTCTCTCCCGGTGTTGTGTGCGGCCCTTCTCAGGAGAGACACACCCTGGCTGTGATACACAATATGAGGCATGTCCAAATCCTGCAGTCCAAAAAAATATTTGTTGCGTATCTGAAATTCACATTGAACTGGGAGCCCTGCATTTTGATTGGCTACATCTGGCCACTCTGCTCGTACCCCACCGCCCTGTGTTAGGTGCGCGGATTTCCCTGTCTGCCTGGCAGCTGTCTGGTGGTGTTTACCGGCAGCTCTAGGTGCTGTGTGGGTCTGAGTCTTCAGCGACCAAACCTAATAGCAGGAGCATCAGATTTATTTATTTTGAAAACACTGAAGCAGGGCCCTGATGCACAAATACAAAAAGTCAATTTTTTTTAGAGTCTCCACGTTCTCTCCCCATACCATTGTCAGATGCTAACAGCTGTGTATGCTCGAAGAGATGTCTTAAGCATTTGCAAGTTACGTCTTTATCCTGCCCCTTCTCATTTGCACATGCAACGGGTGTTACATACACTGCTCCTCTGCACTTGACTTTCTTGCCTCAGCAAAGGGGCTCCATGTATTTGTGCATCGGCACGTGAAGAACTTGCCTTTCTTCACAAACACAGGGATTCTTTTCATAGGAGCAGACTGATTGGTTGAACCAGTTTCCTGAGGACTACACATTGGTTGTTTCCGGGCTCCTTATTAATACAGTTTTAACATCCCTCATGCAGAAATGCAAGATGTTTGAAAATCAGAAGCTTTCTGAGTTCGGATGTGATGCTACAAGTGGAAATTCCCATATATTGAAACTTTGATTAAAGCACAAAATTATCTCAAATATATATATATGTTTATATATATATAAACATAAGTGAATTTCATTTTTTAAAGATTTATTTATTTGAAAAAGTTATACAGAGAGAGAAGGAGAGGCAGACAGAGAGTGAGAGAGAGAGAGGTCTTCCATCCGCTGGTTCACTCCCCAGTTGGCTGCAATAGCTGGAGCTGCGCCGATCCCAAGGCAGAAGCCAGGAGATTCTTCCGGGTCTCCCACGCAGGTGCAGGGGCCCAAGGGCCTGGGCCATCTTCTACTGCTTTCCCAGGCCATAGCAGAGAACTGGATCAGAAGTGGAGCAGCCAGGTCCTGAACTGGCGCCCATATGGGGTGCTGGTACTGCAAGTGGCAGCTTTACCCACTATGCCACAGCGCCAGCCCCAATTTCATGTTTCAACTTGAGTCCCATCCCCAAGAAATCTTATGACTACATAAAAATGTTGCAGAAACTGAAAAAAATCAGCAATCCGCAACACTTCCAGTCCCAGGCTGTTTCAAGGCCTCGCCCAGGCCAGCAGGCTGTGTGCTGATCTAGGCAGCAGGAAGAGGACAAGAGGAGGAGCTTCCCCAGAAGTACCCGGGACAGTTCCTCTTGTAGCGCACTGACCAGAGCGGAATCCTGAGACCACACTGAGCTGCAGGGGTGTGTGCGTGTGTGGGGGGGGGGCATTGGGAAATGCAGTCTTGTAGCTGGGTATCCTGGTGTCCCAACGAGTAATCCAGTTTTCTTACCAAGCAATAGAGGAGAATGGGCGCTGCACCAGCGGTCTCACTCGGTCCTTGTCTTCTCCTGTCCCTGGGAGCTCCCTCATTACTTGCTGGGTACATTTTGTGCTGGGCCCCTTTCCCACCCCATCTCTGGGTCACCTTGTTGCTACCTCTCATCCCTTCTCTCTCCTCATCCCGGAATCAGTGATGTCATCCCAGAATGCAATTGGAATGAGGCTTCTCACGGTGGTCTGGGAGCCAGAGAGGGAGTGAGGGTGAGGACGGGACCGGGCCAGAATTACTTACCCTACTCATCTCTTGGGATGTCTCAGAAAGCCTCTATGTCAGAATGCCCCTGTTAAAATAGCTAAGCCTTCCTTGAAGATGAAAATTAGAATTGTATTCTCTCGTACAAAGGTAAGTTATGTTTGTTTTAAAGAAAAATAGGGAACAAAGATAAGAAAGTGAGAAAAAGAAAGCACTTGTTCTCACCCCTTTTTGCCTCGTGGGACTTTGCCTTTGAGATCTTTATGGATATAAAGTTGCCCATGCGGAGTGAAGGCAAGGATAAATGGGCTGGCACTATTTCTATGTAACACTGTGAACTTGTTCAGCCTCACTTTAAAGTCCTATTTTGCCGCTCAGATGTAACTTTTCCTTTGATCAAAGTTAGGAAGCTAGGCAGGCTTTCCATGTGAATTCTTTAAAAATATTCTCCCCTTTAATGAGGACAGAGAAGAATAAAGAGATGGACAAAAAGCAAGCAGCAGGAGAGAACCCCGGTGTCTCAAGAGAACTGGGCCATACAGAGACTGAGTGATAGACAGGAACGGGTCTCAAGCCATGCAGGGCGGAAGTCCTCACTTCCTGGGAGTTGGAGGAAGGGTGGGGGTGCTGAGGGGAGATCTTGAGACCTAGAACTCTGGAATGCACTGCCCTAAGCTGTAAAATGGGCTGGTAAGAGTTCCTGCCTCCAGGGATTTGTTGTCAGTGGACCAAGTAAGATGATATGGGGGTACTTCAACTAGTTGAAAATAATGGAAATAAAGATATGTTTATTTTGGCCAGCGCCGTGGCTCAATAGGCTAATCCTCCACCTAGCGGCACCAGCACACCGGGTTCTAGTCCCAGTTGCCCCCATTCCAGGCCAGCTCTCTGCTGTGGCCCGGGAGTGCAGTGGAGGATGGCCCAAGTGCTTGGGCCCTGCACCCCATGGGAGACCAGGAGAAGTACCTGGCTCCTGGCTTCGGATCAGTGTGGTCGCTGGCCACAGCGCCCTCGCCGTGGCGGCCATTGGAGGGTGAACTAACAGCAAAAGGAAGACCTTTCTCTTTTTCTCTCTCTCTCACTGTCCACTCTGCCTGTCAAAAAAAAAAAAAAAAAAAAAAAAAAAAAAAAAAAAAAGATATGTTTATTTTGCTGTAGAAAATTCAAGAACCTTGTGTTTTTTTTTTTTTTTTAAGATTTATTTATTTACTTGAAAATCAGAGTTACACACAGAGAAGGAGAAGCAGAGAGAGAGAGGTCTTCCATCTGCTGGTTCACTCCCTAGATGGCCACAATGGCCGGAGCTGTGCTGATCCAAAGCCAGGAGCCAGGAGCTTCTTCTGAGTCTCCCACACAGGTGCAGGGACCCAAGGACTTGGGCCATCTTCTGTTGCTTTCCCAGGCCATAGATAGCAGAGAGCTGGATCGGAAGAGGAGCAGCCGGGTTTCTAACTGGCGCCCGTATGGGATGCTGGTGCTGCAGGGGGCGGCTTTACTTGCTACGCCACAGCGCCGGCCCCTGTACTTTTTTCACAATATTTTCCAGGAGTTTTTGAAGGCTCCTTGTTTGTATGGATTTCAAGTATTTTGTACCAAAATAAACATCTTGAAATTTCATTTTCCACAAACTTTTTTGAAGTATCTTTGTATTTGTCTACGTGGAAGCATTATTTAACCCATAGGCATTCAAAGAACAAAGCCTCTAAACTCTCAGAGTAGAAGGGACTCTTGATGACCATTGGTCTGGGTGCCTGTTAATGTGGGGGAAACGGAGGCCATTGTTTGGTTCTATTAGCGAACCAAGCCAAACGCCCTCGAACGGGGAATAGGAAATACTTTTGCTGCTGAGCACTGTGGGTCTGCACGGAGATAATGACCATGGATTGCTTCTCAAGTACAATGTGGTTGTGAAGCTTGTACCTGCCAGAGAGAAGTGGGGTTGGGAGTTTGACCCATGGACTTACGCTGAGCTGCGTCTGCCCCCAAGAGGCACCTTGGCTTGTTTTGCCTGAAGGGGCTATGTGGTACGGCGGGGCCCTGCTCTTCATCCGTGGGATTCTTGGCACACTCTGCCTCGTCAGAGATGTGATTCTGGGCCCAGCTCCTGGGCAGCTGAATGGAAGCTGGTCCTGAGTGCTGGCCACTCTTCTGCCTTTTGTCAACCTAAATAAATACAAACGGCAGACAGAGGGAGTCTCGAAAGAATAATGATACTCGGGAGCAGAACACAGGGCATTGCACCAGGAAGATGTGTGCCGCAGGAAACCACAGGTGTACTCAAAGAGGTTGGGCAAGGACAAGTTTTTAAAGGCAAAAATGAGGAGATTTTGTAGCCATCATTTTTTTTTAATTTACTTTTTATGTTATTTAATTTTTTTAAATCAAAGTAGCTTTCTTCATGACTCCTGTATGTGTTGATGTGGGTATTTGTTGGTTTAGAAGATCCTGCCAAGTAGTTTTCTGAAGCGCTCATAGCTTTGCTTTGGTTTTGTCAAAGGAGAACTCTTAGGCCCAGTAGGAGGCCAGAACACGCAGTGGGCTGGGGTGATAATGGAGCATTGCAATCCAAAGACTGTTGTCTGTGCCCAGAAATGGCGCTATTACTGATCATTTCGATGTGTGATGGGTGGAAAATTCCGAGACTTGGCCACCTTGCTCATTCTTTTTTTCTTTTCTTTTAACGAATTATTTTATTTATTTGAAAGAGAGTTAAAGAGAGAGGTAGAGCCAGAGAGAGAGAGAGAGGTCTTCCATTCTGCTGGTTGATTCCTCAAATGACTGCAATGGCCAGAGCTGAGCTGATCAGGAGCCAGGAGCCAGGAGCTTCTTCCCGGTCTCCCACGTGGGTGCAGGGGCCCAAGGACTTGGGCTTTCCCAGGCCATAGCAAAGAGCTGGATGGCAAGAGAAGCAGCTGGGGCTTGAACTGGCGCCCATATGGGATGCTGATGCTGCAGGCTGGGGTTTAACCCATTGCGCCACAGCACCTGCCCCAACCTTGCCCATTCTTAAGCTTCTCCTTGCAGTGTGCTGCTTAGAGATGAGCAGAATGGAAGTCATTCAGGCCAGTCCCTCCCACCATCTTCCAATGATTCAGCAGTCGTCTTTGACCACAAACATCGGTCTGAGGCTCAGCAGACTGGGCAGCTGGGCGCCTAGTCCTTTTTGTATACGGTTGTGGTGGCCTGGGTCACGTGGTTCTGGTGGGATCCTTTGTGATAGTTGATAGTGACTCCCAGGCATTCGTGGGTAAGAACCTTTCTCGTGAGCTTGCAAAATTTTATTCACTGACTTAGTATTGATGCAAAACTCCGTTTTGATTTGACAATGTGGCTTTCACACTTTGTTAGGGAGTAGTCCATGGCTGCAGATGGGAGAAGCCATCCCTTCTCTCCACGAGGGAGGGAGTTATTGGTGGCAAACTGTTTGTGGTACCACGTGTTCCTCCTCTGGGATTGTAGGCATGGTTCTCACTGCTTCTATCCTCTGCTTTACCTTAGCCAGGCTGGTATTCTGATGGCCTCAGTCATTTTTTTTTTTTTTTAAGATTTCATTTATTTATTCAAGAGCTAGAGCTACAGACACCGCGAGGGAAAGGCAGGAGAATGGTCTCCATCCACTGGTCCATTCTCCAGATGGCAGCAATGGCCAGAGCTGGGCCTTTCTCAAGCCAGGAGCCGGGAGCTTCTTCTGGGATCTCCTACATGGGTGCAGGGGCCCAACACTTGCGCCATCTTCTACTGCTTTCCCAGACCACAGCAGAGAGCTGGATCAGAAGAGATGCAGCTGGGACACGAACCAGCACCTATATGGGATTCCGGGACCACAGGCAGAGGCTTAGCCTACTCTGCCGGAGTTCTGACCTGGCCTTGGTCATCTTGACCCACAGAAAGGTTACACCTGCTTCTTGACTTCACCTTAGGTCACCTGTCTTCAATTCCTACCTGGTCTCTTGGTCCAACTGAGTTAGACAATTCTAGATCCTTGGAAGCCCCCTTCCTTCTCCCAGGCGTTGGCCAGTGATGGTTCTAGATTGGGCAGCAGTGTTGCTCTGTGTGCACAGCAGTAAAACCCCCAGCCCAGTGTAGCCAGAGGCCGTCTCGTAATCTGAATGCTGATGAAAACTCAAAAGCCAGGTCTAGCGGTTCCGACACCCCTTTCCAGGAATGCTGCAGCCTGATTTTGTTTGCAGGCTCCTGTCTTTTCCAAGGCCCTCCTGCGCTCCCTCAGGTGCCACCTAGTTCTTTCGCGGCTAACGGGGAGACTTCTGTCCAGGTGTTTCCCACTGGTTTTCCTCCACGGTGCTCGCGGACATTGCTAAGTACACCACCATGTTTCTAGAAAGAGGGCGGGGGAGGAATTTTGTCCTCTCTTCAAAGAATGTGTGTGCGATGGAGGGAGCAGGAATGCGGGGTGGGTGGGCGGGGAGAGGCTGGGGTGAATGGGATGAGAACCTGGTTTACCCCAGCGTACCAACTTGCAACTCAGAGCACGGTCTGGACGCTCCTCAGGAAACCCTTGTCTAGGTTTTTGGAGTATGAACTTGTGTGTTTCCTCCTGGGAGCCTCTGCTGTGTAACTAAAATAGCAAGTGCTTGCCGTCCAGGCCTCTGAGAACTGCTTTTTTTTTTTTTTTAGCCTTGGGGCAAATCCGTTATTTATTCATTCATTCATTATCATTACTGATTCATTTATTTATTATTATTGATGATCTTTATTTTTTATTTATGGTGCCTTTATTTCATTTTCTTTAAGGCAGAGATACTAATATTATCTGGGTTGTTGTGAGGATCACACTGAGAAAAGTGCCAGGCAAGAACTAAGTGCTGAATTCAAGGCTCAAAGATGATAAAATGCACTGTTATTTTAAATACCACTAAGGAAGAAAAAAAACTCGCTCAAATCAAGACACATTGCTTTCTTATAATCTAGAATATTTATCTATATAGAAAGAGATTTTTGGGAGGTGTAGATTTTTGTCACATATCACTCCTTTTTAAAAATTTATTTTTTAAGGAATATACATTTCGTAAGTACAACTTTAGGAATATAGTGATTCCTCCCATCATACCCACCCTCCCACTCACACTCCCCCCGCTTCTCCTCCTCCCTCTCCCCTTCCCAGTCCTATTCTCCATTAAGATTCATTTTCAATTAACTTTGTAAACATATCACTCTTGAGTAACAAGGAAGCGTGATATAAAGTATCCCTAATATCCTTATATGCTTAGTCCATTTCTGCCAAGTACCTTGTCAGTGTGGTTACTGACGTCCGAGTCTTTCCATAGGATGCTGCCTGTGCCATCACGTGGAGGCGGCATCTCTCAGGTGCACTCTGTGTTGTTTTGGGGTGTCCCTGTTACTCCCTGGCACCAGCTCTGTGCTGTTGATGGTCACACACAATCAATAATATCTATTTCCTCCCTGGCGCTTGGCCAGCTTCAATTGTCAGACATCCTGATATCGCAGATGGTAAAATGTGAAAATATTTATAATTGATGAAATACAGCAGTGTGCCTTGGCCCATGATTTCATAGGTCCAGGCATTGGGAGATCTGAATATACAAATAGAGCATGGCCAGACCATGTACAAGAATAGAAAAGCTCACTGGGGAAGCCAGCCTGCGCTGTCAGCCTTGCAGGGTGCCTGATTTCTGTCTCCAACAACAATCCACAAAGCTAAGTGATCACTTCTGTAACGGTCAGCCCCAGATGACCAGGAGTGGATTAAGGGACAGCTGCCCTATTTTTTCCCCCATTCTCAACTCGCAACCCACCATAGACATCAGTTATGCTGCCCAACCCAGCCCCACAGAAGGGAGGGCGTCTGCAGCTTCCCGGGGCCAACACCTCCAGTGGGGGCACACCCACTTCTCTACCTGCCTGCCTACCTCCACCACAACTCGAGTGATGGTGGCTGGCTCCCCTGTGATGACCTGCTCAGAACAAATAGCCTGGTTGTTCTCTTTGGTTGGTATCTGTTTATTTCCACGGCTTGTAAGAGGAGCAAGGGTGGATCCGTGTGTCTCTTCCCTTTGGGTGTGTGGCTGCTTGGCGATTGCACCATGAAGTGGCCAAGACTCTCCCACTGCCGTAAGTCAGTGGTAGAAGTAGTGTTGTATGTTTCCACATTTCACTTCTTCTCTCCTTCCTTCCTGTCTGTTTTCTGTTTTTCCTCTGAAGTCCTTGAGGTCAAATCTGGCTCCTAAAAAGAGTCAAGGGAATCGTGGACCTAACGGCTGCCTCAGAAGCCTGCCATCGCCCGCTATGTGGGGCACAATGGCACCCCCAACAGGTGCAAATGCACTCTCTTCATTGCTGCTGCTGGTGACCATGGCAGGTAGGAAACCCTTACTCCCAACACTCTGGTCTCAGACTCGAGCGTGCCATCTGGCAGACACATCAATCTGAGATGAACGAGCTGTGTGTCTGCTTTGCAATGGAATTATTTTTCCATAAAACAGGCATGAAAGGCAGATCTCAGGCATGAGTAATTTTCCGGAAACAAGAATTCATGCTTTTTTTGGTCGTCATGATTATTTTGTGGGAAAATAAAATTTCATTTAATAGGTACAGGTACATTTCAAAAGGTTCATGGAAAAATGGAATTAAAAGATAAGTTTAGTGGCTACACTGTGGCGTAATGGACTAAGACACTGCCTGCAGTGCTAGCATCCCATATGGGTACTGCTTCCAGTCCTGAGTGCTCTTCTTCTGATCCAGCTCTCTACAATGGCCTGGGAAAGCAGTAAAAGATGGCCCAAGTGCTTGGGCCCCTGCACCCATGTGGGAGACCGGCAAGAAACTCCTGGCTCCTGGCTTCAGATCAGCTCAGCTCCGACCATTGTGGCCATTTAGGTTATGAACTAGCGGAATGGAAGGCCTCTCTCTCTCTGGTTCTCCCTCTCTCTAGTTCTACCTCTCAAATAAATAGATAAAATATTTTTTAAAACACAAGTTTATTTTGATGCAAAAGTTTTTTGAAGTCCATGTATAGTTTTTTCACAATATTTGTGACCTTTTGAAGACTTTTCATAAGTATGGATATTAAACTTTTTTGAACAAAATAAACTTACCTTTTTTGAAAAAGATTTTTATTTATTTATTTGAAAAGCAGAGTTAAAAAATAGGGAAACAGAGTGAATCTTCCATCTGCTGATTCACTCCCCAAATGGCCACACTGACTGGGACTGGGCTAGGACAAAGCTGGGAGCCAGGGACTCCATCTATGTCTTCCACGTGTGTAGCAGGGACCCCAGCACTTGGGCCACTTTCCATTGCCTTCCCAGATGCACCAGCAGAGAGCTGTGTTGGAAGTGGTAAAACTGGGACTTGCCCATATAGGCTGCTGGAGTCACAGGCGACAGCTGAACCCCTTGAGCCACAATGCATGCCAGCCCCACAAAATAAACTTATCTTCTCATTCAACTTTCCATGAATTTTTTGAAGTGTTCTCTCATACTGGTACAAGTTTACATTTGTGTATTTAAAAGAATTGCATTGTACCTCTCTCTGGAAAGGTGGGACTCTCCTATTGTGAGTGTTTTCCATGTGCTCAGTTTGATTGTCGTGGACATGTCTGTGGCATAAAGCCCTTGGCAAGCACCATCTCCAGTGATGTCTGGCAAGGCTTGGTTGGTCAGGCCTCTCTCCACTTTTCAAATCTTAAAAAATCTTAAAAAATGCATTTCCTTTTCAATTGACCTGTCATCAGAATATCCTGTGAGATTAAAAGAAAAAACTCAATGAACAAAAACAGTAAAGTAAAAACACGATGCTGTTCCATACGTGTGTGAGGAGCCGTGTATTATAAATAATATAATGCATACGTGGAGAAGAACGTTTCTGGTAACTAAGTGGAGTGAAATTATCTGAAGAGAGAGGATGGAAGGATGCCTGGATAGGTGGAAGAATTGCTGGCCGGATGGATGAGTGGTTAAGTAGGTAGATGGATGGGTGAGTTGGTGGATGCATAGATGGATGAGTAGGGGGCTAGATGATGCCTGGACGGATGGATTGGTGAGTGGACAGATGGATGGATGGACAGAAGTTAGATGAGTAGGTGGAAAGGTAAGAAGATAAATATATGGATGGGCAGTTGGATGGAGGGAGGGAGGGAGAGAAGGAGGGAGAGAGAGATGGTTGGGAAGGTGGAACATACAAGGATGGGAGGATGGATGGGTGAGTGGGTAGAGGGATACATACAGAGACTGCTACTCTGGATAGACTATAAGACAGCGTAGTGGTCTTTCCAGAGGAAACCCTGACTCTTTGCTTGCCAGATTGGCGATTCCCAGACGGCCACTTGCCGATCTCTCAGTCCGGAGTTCCTCCCGGTGACGTGACTTTGCTCCCTTGAGACCACCTTCTTTGCAGGTTGTGCCTGTCAGCAGTGCGGCAAGGGGAGGACGTACTCCAACGCCGTCATTTCGCCCAACCTGGAAACCATCCGAGTCATGCGCGAGCCCCAGACGTCCCCGGTGGAGGACTGCACCGCCGCTTGCTGCGACCTCCCCAGCTGTGACCTGGCCTGGTGGTTTGAGGGCCGCTGCTTCCTGGTGAGCTGCCTGCGCCAAGCGAACTGCGAGCCCAAGAAGATGGGGCCCATCAGGTCTTATCTCACGTTCGTGCTCAGGCCTGTGCAGGGCTCTGCACAGCTGCTGGACTACGGGGAGATGATGCTGAACAGGGGCTCCCCCTCAGGAGTCTGGGGGGACCTGCCTGAGGATATTCGAAAGGACTTGCCCTTTCTAGGCAAGGACCGGAGCCTAGAGGAGATGTCTGAGTACCCGGATGACTACGGGGAGCTAGAGCAGGACCTCCTGCAGCCGGTCAGCAAGCAGGAGCCCCGAGGGAGGGCTGGGGACACTGGCTGGGGCCTGCTGCCCGGGAGCGAGGGAGGTTTCAACTCCTCTGCGGGCGACAGCCCAGCACCAGCGGAGAAGCCACTGGACCCTGAGCTCCGTGACCTGGACCCAGCACGCCGGAAACCCAACGTGTCAGCTTGGACCCCTGCCCCCAAACGCTCCCCTGAGAGAAGCTTGGTGACGACCCCATCTTCAGGAGAGGTGTTAGAGAGAGACAAGGCTTTTCCGCTCCAGGAACAATCCAGCAACAGCTCTGGAAAAGAGGTGTGTGTGTTTGGGACGGGCTAGGGGTGGAGGGGCTGAGTGTCGGTAGCCAGGCCTCTTTTGGCTGTGTGAGCACAGATGGCTGTCCCTTTAAGTGCACCTGTCTCAGGTGGCAGCAAGACAGGTGATGTCTCAGAGCCTTTCAGGAAACAAAACATCTCGTTCCTCTGCTGTGTTCTCACGACCAGGCTGTTAAAAACAACAAACAGTTCTGCCTTCGAGTCAGCCACCTGGAGATGCCTCCACTAGTACGTAAGGGGAATGAGGATTTTCTAGACGTCCTTGGAGCCAGCACGTACAGCCAGTACAGAGGCTTTGAAAATCTACCATCTCAGGCTTCCCCAAGCCCCGGCAAGTGCTTAGGTTGCTAGGAAACCACCGTGACGTGGGGAGAGATGTGGTTAGGAGAGAATGGAACTCTGTGAAAAAGGCTGGGAATCATGTTGGAGCAGAGATAACAGAAATGATGGAGAGGGGGGAGAGGTCCACGTCTCAGTGGCAAAGTCTCAGGGGAGACAGAGGATGACAGAGGTGCTGAGAGGAGGGCCGCGTTGCAGAACTCGGAGGCTGCCCGTGTGGCCCACAGCCAGGGTGTGGGGAAGGAAGCTGGGCGCGGCTGGCTGTGGACTAGCAAAGCACATGGGAGTCCTTTGCGCATTTCTCAAAGGAGAAAAGCCTTGGCCGGCGCCGCGGCTCACTAGGCTAATCCTCCACCTGCGGTGCCAGCACACAGGGTTCTAGTCCTGGTCCGGGTGCCAGTTCTGTCCTGGTTGCTCCTCTTCCAGTCCAGCTCTCTGCTCTGGCCTGGGAGTGCAGTGGAGGGTGGCACAAGTCCTTGGGCCCTGCGCCCGCATGGGAGACCGGGAGGAAGCATCTGGCTCCTGGCTTCGGATTGGCGCAGTGCACCGGCCACAGCGGCCATTGGGGGGTGAAACAATGGAAGGAAGACCTTTCTCTCTGTCTCTGTCTCTCTCATTGTCCACTCTGCCTGTCATTAAAAAAAAAAAAAGGCTTCGATGTTTCAGTGCCAACATTAGAATAAGAAGCGTACCAGATTGAGTTGATGGTACTCAATCCTAAAGAATTGCCAAAAAGATGACCAGAAAAATCATCTTTAAATGTGGGGAATGAGCAGAGGATCTTTTTCTGATCTTATGTTTTTCTGCAAGGTTTCTGTATATTTCCGTTCTTGTAATTAGGGTAAAGAATTTAATTACAAATGATCTGAAAGTGTTAAAGATGAGCTGCATTCTTTACTTGTATCAGCAAATATTCATGCTAACAAAGTTTATCCTTTTTCCTGTTACCAAATCATTTACATTCTAGCTTCTATAAATGGAACTATCTTGAATCAAGTTCTGTTGAAAAATTTTTGGTTCATTAGTTCTCTGAGGTTAGTTATAGTAAAAGATAATTATCAAAGAAAAAAAAAAAGAAAAGCCATGAATTGTGCAGACATAAAAGGAACATTTACTAAGGGTTTTATTTGACTCATTGAAAGAACTTAGTAGATACAGTTTTTCCACAGACACATTGATAGATCGAGAATATTAAATGAATTGCAAAAGAAGCATAAATGGGTTTTCTGGGGAGAAGGGGAGAGAGTTCTGTTGAATCTCCACCAGATGGGGCAGAATCTTCATGTCTATAGGCAAGAAAGATAAGAGGAGCTGGCGCTGTTGTGTAGTGGGTAAAGCTGCCACCTGCAGTGCCAGCATCCCATATGGGTGCCAGTTCGAGTCCCAGCTGCTCCACTTCCGATCTGGCTCTCTTCCATGGCCTGGGAAAGCAGTAGAAGATGACTCAAGTGCTGGGCCCCTGCACCTGTGTGAGAGATCCAGAAGAGGTTCCTGGCTCCTGGCTTCAGATCAGTGCAGCTCTGGCTGTTGTGGCCATTTGGAGAGTGAACCAGCAGATGGAAGACTTTTGTCTCTGCCTCTGCCTCTGCCTCTCTCTAACTCTGCTTTTCAAATCAAATAAATAAATCTTAAAAAAAAAAAAGATAAGAATCAGATAAACTGGAGGGATATCCTGTAGACAATATTTTTTTTTTTTTTATAGGTAGAGTGGATAGTGAGAGAGAGAGAGACAGAGAGAAAGGCCTTCCTTTTTGCCGTTGGTTCACCTTCCAATGGCCGCCGAGGCCGGCGCACCGCACTGATCCAAAGGCAGGAGCCAGGTGCTTCTCCTGGTCTCCCATGGGGTGCAGGGCCCAAGCACTTGGGCCATCCTCCACTGCCTTCCCGGACCACAGCAGAGAGCTGGCCTGGAAGAGGGGCAACTGGGAAAGAATCCGGTGCCCCGACTGGGACTAGAACCCGGTGTGCTGGTGCCGCTAGGTGGAGGATTAGCCTATTGAGCCGTGGCGCCGGCCAATGTTATTTTTCTTTGAAACAGAAGTTTTCCCCAAGATACATAACATTTGTAGACAATCTTCCAGTAGATGCTTATGAACATTCGACACATAGCTTAATAAGAAATTTCCTTTTGTTCTGATGAAGTACGAAGTTTTGAATTAATGTCAGATACTAGGATTCTCCTCTCACCAGAAAGTATTTGAAATAGTCCAACTGTACTTGATAAAGGTGCCTAGAAAACTTAGTGGGGAAATAATCTTTTCAACATGTGGTGCCAGGATAACTGGAATATCCACATACAAGAGAATAAATTTAGATTCCTTAACCCATACCTTTTTTAAAAAAATTAACCCAGAATTGGACCAAAATACCTAACTGTAAGAGTATTTTTTAAAGATGTTTATTTCAAAAGCAGAGTTACAGAGAGGCAGAAGCAGAGAGACAGAGACAGAGAGAGAGAGAGAGAGGGAGAGAGAGCGCTTCCATCTTTCAAATGGCAGCATTGGGCAGAGCTGGACTGATCCAAAGCCAGGAAGGAGCCTGGAGCTTCTTCCAGGTCTCCCACATACATGCAGGGGCCCAAGGACTTGGGCCATCTTCTATTGCTTTCCCAGAGAGCTGGATCGGAAGTGTAGCAGCCAAGACTCAAACCGGCACCCATATGGGATGCTGGCACTGTAGGTGGTAGCTTTACCTGCTATGCCACTGTGCCAATCTCCTAAATGTAAAAGTTAAAACTATAAATGAGGAAAACATTAGAAGAAAACATTGCAGTAGATGTACTGTTAGATAACAATTTCTTAGATAAGACATATAATTTTCTTTTTTAAAGATTTATGTATTTATTTGAAAGGCAGAAATACAGAGAGAGAAGGAGAGACAGAGAGATCTTCTATCTGTTGGTTCATTCCCCAAGTGGCAGCAACAGCTAGATCTGGGCCAGGCCAAAGCCAGGAGCTTCCTCTGGGTCTCCCACATGGGTGCAGAGGCCCAAGAACTTGGGCCATTTTCCACTGCTTTCCCTGGCACATTAGCAGGGAGCTGGATCAGAAGTGGAGCAGCTGGGACTTGAACCAGCACCTGTTTGGGATGCTGGCACTGCAGGCAGAGGGTCAACTTCCTTCCTTCCTTCCTTCCTTCCTTCCTTCCTTCCTTCCTTCCTTCCTTCCTTCCTTTCTTCCTTTCTTTCTTTCTTTCTTTCTTTCTTTCTTTCTTTCTTTCTTTCTTTCTTTCTTTCTTTCTTTCTTTCTTTTTTAAGATTTATTTATTTATTTGAAAGTCTGAGTTACACAGAAAGAAGGCCAGGCAGAAAGAGAGGGAGGGAGAGGGAGCGAGAGGGTTTACCTGGTTTACCTTTGAATGACAGCTGTTCTTCCTGAGGGCTTCTCATGGTGCACATCCCCTTGGTGTCTCCTGGGTTCTTAGTCTGGGAGTTTCACCTTCCTGGCCTCGCCACCACTGGCTGCTGCAGTACAGAAGAATATTTTATTTTCATATTATGAGGCTTTCTCTTCTGGCACAGAGCAGTCAATTTAGACACTGTGACTGCTAACTCTGTAACTTCAAGGTACAGTTGGTACACCCTGGATGGTATGCATAGAGGCCATTCGCTGTAGAAGCTCGCTCACTCTTGAATTATCTGTCTTCAGTTACTACCGCCTTATAGGTTGTTCTAGTTGGTTCTGGCTGCTATTCCGAAATACAGTAAACTGTGTGGCTTTACCAACAAGCAGTTATATCTCACACGTCTCGGGGCTGGACATCTGAGCTCAGGGCCCCTGTGGGGTCAGGTTCTTGGTGAGGGTCTCCTTGGTTTACAGTCATTTTCTTTCTATGTCCTCACATTGAAGAAAGAACTCGCGAACTCTGGCCTCTTAGAGCGGCACTACTGCCATTGGTAAGGGCCCCACCCCATGCCCTAATCGCCTCCCAGTGCCATCCTACTGGAGGTTAGGATTTCCCGTGTGAACTTCGAATGGAACACACACATCCCTTTGAATTCTCAGCATGAGAATTCGAGGACTGGTCTGTTTCATTTTTCTCTATCTTGAATGCTTGTGTGTTTACCTGTATGATTGTCCAGCCTTACTTACCCAATAGACAGCAGAGAGAATATTTGAAAGAGATGGTCTAGGATTCCAGGGTTTTGTGATTTTATGCATGGTTTTGCAAACACTGCTGAATCAGGGTTATGAAGATGGTCAGTGACCTCGTGTTGCTTGAGTTCAACTGCTTTTTCCATACTAATTTATCCTTGTAATTGGTCTTGTAGGTGCTAATGCCTTCTGAGAGTCCTCCAACCAGTATGGAGCCCAGCTCGGCCCCATCAGAGAAAAGACCTGTTATTACCATCAGCCCCTGGAGCACAGTGCACAGCGCCCCACCGCTCCCCACCAGCGCAGTCCCCACTGGCTCCACTCTACCCGAGCAGCCCACCTCTCCTACCCTTGCTCCCGGGACAGGTGTAACCTTCAGAAATTACAGCTGTAAGAGATGTACTGAAAGCATGCTGTAGAATCGAGTCATGCTATTCTTCAAGCTTACTCACTCCTTCCAGACACCACTTTGAGCATCTGTCATGTGCCAGAAATAGTGCTAGGTTCTGGAGATAAAAAGGCAAATAAGACATTGCCTTCTCCCTCAGTGACTGAACACTGTAGGGGAGCAGACTGAGCAGCCCACTGGTGTCTCTCTACAGGGTGGTCAGTGCTGTGGGAGGCTGGGATGGAGCAGAGGGGGACAGCCTGACCTCCACCAGGGGTGGGAAGCCTTTTCAGAGGACGTGGTGTGTACAAAGAGCAGGCCGGCCAGCATGGGGCTGGAGCCATGTGTGGTGACAGTAGTGGCAGTGCAGGTACCAAGCACATAGGGGGCGCCAGGCACCGTGCCCAACCCTTTGCATTACAGGGGCATTCACACTCTCCCTGAAGGTTCGATACTTTCAGTGAATGCCATGAAACTGATGGTAGATTAACAGGAAAAAGAACACACACATTTGTTAACGTTCGTAACCACTCATGGGAGCTGTACACTCAACATGAGAATTGTAGAAAGGGGCAGATAATCAAGGCCTAAATGCTCTATTCCTAGAGAGGGAATCTGGGTCAGGCCGTTTTGGAGGGCTAACAAATTATTGGGGGTGGGGTGTGTGCTGTGGTGTAGCAGATTAAGCCTCTGCCTGCAGTGCCGGCATCCCAGATGGGTGCTGTCCTGGCTGCTCCACTTCCGATCCAGCTCTCTGCTATGGCCTGGAAAAGCGGCAGAAAATGGCCCAAGCACTGGGGCCCCTGCACCCACGTGAGAGACCCAGAAGAAGCTCCTGGCTCCTGGCTTCAGTCTGGCCCAGCTCCGGCCGTTGAGGCTATTTGGGGAATGAGCCAGAAGATGGAAGACCTCTCTTTCCCTCTCTCTCACTCTGCCTTTCAAATAAATAAAATACATGTTCTAAAAAATTATTTTGGGGCAGGAGGGCAGAGACTGGTGTGAGAAGAGTTGCGCTGGGTGTAGGTGGCTTGGTTGGCCTCCAGTGTCTTCCTGTGATGTGAACAAGCTCAGGCGGAAGGCTGGAGTGAGATTTTGAAAGATCGTGTGTTTTGTGCCAAGGAATCTGCGCTTTGTTGGCTGTGTATGGAGAACCCCCAAATGGTCTCCAGCAGGGGTGCAGAATGAGCGGATGTGTATGGAGGAAATAGGGTGGGGCTGAACAGAGGCGAGAAGATAAAGCTGCAGTGAGAGCTTGCAGGGGTGGAGAGAAGAAACCAGACCCGAGAGGCAGTGAGGCAGCAGCATCAGGGGACTTAGGAAGAGGCAGGATGGAGGAAGAGGCTCGGAGGCGTGTGAGCGCACGGAGCTGACATTAGCTGGGCAGTGGGGCTGAAGAGGAGGCAGTAGGAGGCACCGGGCTAGAGGTGACCGCAAAGACGAAGACCCAGCGACATTTGAGGCCGCCTGGGTTGAGCTAAGGAGAGGACTGGGGGTGGGCTGTGTCCCTTAAAGTCAGCGTGGGTGGAGCTAGAATAGCAGAAGGAACGTGCAAAGCTGATTGGGTGGAGGTGCGGAGAGGGAGGAGGCGCAGAGCAAAGCAGGGATGTGGGGAGGGGTGGGGGAAGCCAAGCAAATGGTTCCCCTCTGCTCTTCCAAGGTCTAGGCGGGGACCCTGCAACAGCAGACAGGGTAACGAGAGAAAAGCAAGCAGGAGTTTATTAACGTGCCCCGCTCGTGTATGCCATGTGCAGTCAGCCCCCCGTACACACGGGTTCTCCGTGTGTGGATTCTACCGACCACGACTGAAAAGCTCTTTAGAAAGCCATTGAGCCTGTGCTGGACACGCATGGGCTCTGCCCTGCGTCATTATTCCCCAGACAACACAGTGTGACAGTTACCGATGCAGCATTCACACTGCACCGGGTACTGCGAGTAAGCCACAGACGGAGTCGACAGGAGGCTGTGCATCGGTTCTATGCAAGGTGCCACGCTATTTCATACAAGGGACTGAGAATCCACGGAGGCTCATGTCCATGGGGCGTCCTGGTGCCAGTGCCCCGGATACCAGGGGACAGCTGGGTAGATGGGAGAAGCCCAGGGAAATGAGTAAACCTCAGACAGGCGGCCTACAGCTCTGGCTTCTGTAGCTCTTCGACTAAAGCAAAGAGGAGAGGGGGTGGGCAGGTGGCAGCAGGTGACCAGGAGAAGATGCTAAGCGGGAGTGGGGTTTGCTGAGCCGGTGCACGTGGGTGGTGTTTCCCTTGATCAGAGTCCTGGTCGTTTAGACTTCTTCCGGGTACAGAGCAGAGAGCCTCACATACGGAGGTGCCCATTACTGCTGCAAATGTCGCTTCCGAAGTGGGAATTTCTGCTCTTCTTCAGGGCGCCTCCTTGTCTGCTGTTGCTTGAAACCATCAGCCCAGAATCGTCCTCGTTACCAGATGCGCATTTGCAGTGGCACAGTGGCATTTGCAGTGGCATTTGCAGTCGTGTTCTGGGGTGGCATATTCTGGTTCCCTGCAGTCCCACAAAGGAAGAAATGATTAAAGTGTCGGTGCCGCAGAGGCCACCGTGAGGCCGGTGAAGCTACCGTTCCATTTGCTAAGAAAGCACTTATGGCCGTAGACAAGATCTAAGGGCCCATGTAGTTTGGGGATGACCCCCTCTACCTTTTGTATTTGCTTTGGGTCTCCCATGTTGGGTGCAGGGACGCAAGGACTTGGGCCATCCACCGCTGCTTTCCCAGACACATTAGCAGATAGCTGGATCAGAAATGGAGCAGCTGGGACTCAAACCGGTGCCCATATGGGATGCCGGCATTGCAGGCTGGGTCTTTAACCCGCTGTGCCACAGCGTCGGCCCCCGAGTGTTGCCTTTCTCTGTGTAATGATTTCACAAATGAAATGAAAGTCCCATCAAGGCAAGCCTATAGAACCATGGTATGAACATATCGATGAAATCCTGGTTGTAGAGAAAGTCAAGGAGTGGCGCTCTGAGTGCTGACTTAGTAGCCACAGCTGACGTCCTGCTCCTGGAGTTCAAGTTGCCGTTTTATATCGTTGCCGTTTTATATCCAGGCTGACGGGAAAGGTGGGGTTGCTATCAGAGCTGCGCAGTGCGTGACTAATGGCACAGAAACACTTGCGACTCTGCTCAGGCTTTTTATAACTAACCATACCCCGCACCTTGCTCGGTCAGTGGCAGGTGTTTCCTCGCAGTGTGTACTCTCGCGGGTGTGTGTGTGTGTGTGTGTGTGTGTAGGGGCGGTCCTCAGGCTGCACCAGCCAGGGCACAGTCTGGTTCCTCACTAGAGGAACCAAGTGCATGGAAGACTATTACAAAAGCTCATGCGGCTTCAGTTGCTGAGTACTAAAACAGAGGCCTCATAGGCCAGCGCTATGACACCACTGCAGGATGTAATGCCATGTAGTATTATTTCTAATTCACTTTCAGTGAAAGAACTCAAAGTGTCTGCTGGAGAAAACCAGGAAATAACTTTACCCAACGCGGAAGTCCAACTGGAGGCCTTCGTTGTGCCGGCGCCCCCTGCAGGTGAGAGTTTGAACTTGTGCTGGCGCCCCCTGCAGGTGAGAGTTTGAACTTGTGCTGGCGCCCCCTGCAGGTGAGAGTTTGACCTTCCTCTTTAGGATGTTCTTCCAGCGTCGTCTTCACTGGCTCCTTGCAACACGGAGTAGTTTTCACAGTACTGTGTGATGTCACCAACAAAGGTTCTACAGTGGAAGACAAGGCTGTGATGATCATCAGCATCAAAGTGTACTGAAATGGTTTTAAATGGAGCAAGAGCAAAGCAAACTGAACACAGTAACAGCCTTTAGTGGGCCGGGATGGAGAGTCATACATTTGTGATGGTGCAGAGGGGTGTATTATAGCGGGAGAGACTGCCCCAGGCAGATGGTGACGCATGAGGACGCACAGAGCCTGGGGAGAGTCGCTGGGATGAGGGAGGTGGTGCACACCCCTGGGTAGGCGCGTGGACTTGGCTCCCAGGTCCTCAGAGTACCGCACACCAGCTGCCCAGGAAGCGTTGTTCCAGCATTCTTCCTCTGCTTGCTCCGGGCTCCCTGTTCAGTGACGTCCCACCAGACGCCTCCTCTCTGAGGTAGACACGTTCTGATGGAGTTGGCTATGGCTCACTCAGGCCAGCTTCTTTATTCAGAAATGGTCGTATTTTGCATTTGCATTTTAATCCTCTGGGTGAGGTACCTCATACTTTACTGTTATATGAAAATGAGCGACCATTTCATACTAACACGGAGATGTTACGTCCAATTTTCTTTAATACACTCCCACAACAGATCAAGAGAGTGGAGTTCTCCTTGTCTTTCATTACACGAGACGCAGTATGGTAGGTTACCCTGTGTTAAAACTTAACATGGATAATGTGGCTTTGCACCCTGAAAAGAGAGTCTGAAATGTTAATGGTGAGCTTAGGGAGGTTTTGGATTTTTAACTTTATATAGTTTTCCAAATTTCCTATAGGTATGTAAAATATATAAATATATGTTTTAAAATTAAAAGAAAATTTGTACTAAAATTATATGTGGTCAGGCATTTGGCTTAGTGGTTAAGATACTGCTTGGGTTGCCTGTACTGGATATCAGAGTGTCTGGGCTCAAGTCCCAGCTCCACTCCTGATTCCAGCTTCCTGCTAGTGTGCATCCTGGGAGGTGCAGGTGTCGGTTGAAGTATTTGGCTCTCTGCCACCCATGTAGGAAACCCAGATTGAGTTCTCTGTTCCCGGCTTTGGTCTGGCCCAACCCCAGCTGTTGTGGGCATTTGGAGAGTGAAGCAGCAGGTGGAAGATCCGTGTGTGTGTGTGTGTGTACACGTGTGTGCATATCTCTGTCCCTTGCTTTCAAATATATAAAATAAATAATTCATAAATCAGAACCTTATTACTCCTCACTTGGGTGAAATTTGAAAGTTGAGTTCAGTGTATTTAAGGGTGGCAGTCCTGGAGGATTTAAGGTCATCATCGCCTTCCCTCTGTCTGGGTTCTGTGTGACCACTCAGAACTTATAAGCGCTCGTATTTCTGCTTTGCTCTCAGAAACAACCTACAACTATGAATGGAGTCTAATAAGCCACCCTGCAGACTACCAAGGGGAGATAAGACAAGGACACACACAAACCCTTAACCTCTCTCGAGTAAGTAACTGGGGGTGAGTTGTCTGTGATGGCTCAGCCCAGAACGCACATAATACCATCTTGCTGTTGCACTCAATGGAATGTGTTATGGCGAAGAGCAAAAGAAGGCTACAAACAAATCAAGGCTTGGCCGTGTCAGTCGGCGGGCAGGTGGTTGAGCAGGGAGGCTTCTGGGTGGCTTTGCTTTGTTTGAAGGACCTGGCAGAGCAGCTCTGGGAAAAGCAGCTGCTTGCTCAGTGATCCCTGCGGTGCCCCCGTTCTAACTCTTGTTCTCCTTGCACTGCTGGCGACATTCCGCTTGTCTGGTTCTCAGTCTGGCATGGTTCTAAGAGTTGCCCAAATTCCATTCCAGTCTGCAAATTGCTTCGCCTATCAAGTATGGCTCTCATCACAAGAGATGTAGGATGAATGCGCCGACTTAGCTGCTAGAGGTCTGGTCTCCTGCAGGGTGATTTTCTGTCTTCCTCTCCTGAGGCTGCACAGCTACGGTGCAACGTTGAGCAGGTGTCACCCCCGTGTCATGGTGCAATGTGGGTGTGCAGCATCCCTGTATTATTCTGTCACATGGCTGTGAGTCACGCCCCATGTTATTGTGCAGCATGAGGTATGCACACTCTCATGGCATTGAACCTCATTTCCCAAAGCGTGGTCCATAATCGCCAACAGCCAGCTGACCAGAGCTAGGTGTTAAAAATGCAGGATTTGGGGCCAGTGCTGTGGCATAGCTGCAAACCGGCATCCCATATGGGCGCTGGTTGGAGTCCTGGCTGCTGCACTTCTGGTCCAGCTCCCTGCTATGGCCTGGGAAAGCAGTGGAAGATTGCCCAAGTCCTTGAGCCCCTGCACCCGCGTGGGAGACCCAGAAGAAGCTCCTGGCTCCTGGCTCCTGGCTTTGGATCAGCTCAGCTCTGGCCATTGTGGCCATTTGGGGAGTGAACCAGCAGATGGAAGACCTCTCTCTGCCTCTGCCTCTGTAACTCTGCCTTTCAAATAAATAAATCTTTTTAAAAATGTAGGTTTCTAAGGCTGACATTGTGGCAAAGTGGGATCAGCTGCCACCCACAACACTGGCATCCCTTATGGGCAGCAGTTCAGGCCCTGGCTGTTCCACTTCTGATCCATCTCCCGAGCAATGTGCCTGGGGAAGCAGCCGAAGATGATATAAGCACTTTAGCCCCTGCCACCCATGTGGGAGACCAGGATGGAATTCCTGGCTCCTGGCTTTGGCCTGGCCCGGCCCTGGCCATGGTGGCCGTTTGGGAGTGAACTAAGAAATGGAAGCGCTTTCTCTCTCTCTCTCTCTCTCTCTCTCTTCTCTCTCTCTCTCTGCCCCTCCCCCCCATTTCTCCCTCTCTCCCCCTCTCCCCCCCTCTCTCCTTCTCCCCCTCTCCCCCTTTATCTCCCTCTATCACCCCCTCTCTCCCCCTCTCCCCCCTCTCCCCCTCTCCCACTCTCCCCCCTCCCTCTCCCTCTCTCCCCCCTCCTTCTCTTCCCCTCTCCCTCTCCCCCTCTCCCCCTCTCTCCCTCTATCTCCCTCTCCCTCTCTCTCCCTCTCTCCCTCAATCTCCCTCTCTCCCCCTCTCCCCCCTCTTCCCCTCTCCCCCTCTACCTCTATCCCTTCCCTTTCCCTTCCACTCTTCTCCTTCTCCCTCTTGCCCTCTGTAACTCTGCCTTTCAAATAAATATCTTTTTAAAATGCAGACTTTCCCCAACCCATGTTTAAGAACTGCTGCCCCCCGCTCTGCCATCTCATTTGAGCTCTGTAACTTGTCTAGGTGACTTCAGCACTCCAGGGAGCAGTTTCCAACATGTGACAGCTTCTTAGTTTTTATTTATCTGTTTAATTTGTTTGAAAGGCAGACAGGGACAGGAAGACAGGCAGAGACATCTCCCTCTGCTGATTTCCTCCCCAAATGCTTGCGACATCCAGGGCTGAGTCAGGAACTGAATCAAGTCAGCTACATGAACCATCACGTGCCACCTTCCAAGGCACGCAGCAGCAAGAATCTGGAATTGAGAGCAGAACCAGGACTTGAACCCAGGCACTCCGATCTGGGACACAGGTGTCCTAAGTGGCATCGTAACCAGTGCGGGTGTGGCAGGCTCATTACAGACCCAGATGGAAATCTCTCCTCTGTGCAACCTTAAGAGCCGGCTCAGGGGACATCTCTGCCTCTTCCGGGTACTGCACCTGTCACGTCTCTCGATGCTTACCTGTGTGACTTTTCTTTGTGTTGCAGCTGTCAGCAGGGTTTTATGCCTTCAGAGTGGCTGTTTCCAGTGAAAATGCCTTTGGAGAAGGCTTTGTCAATGTCACCGTTAGGCCAGGTATGTCCACGGGGGGAAAGACCTCTTGTGATATAGAGTATCTCTCTTTTTGGTGCTCATGGCATGTGATATATTCCTTCTCTTTCCATTAGGCTCTGTTGTAGCAAAGAGAGGCAAGGGTTCTGTCTTTATTTATGTCTTTTTTCTAAATAGCTCTCGGTTCTTACTTGACAGCACCGTCTGTGGCTGCCAGCGCATGGCTGGCCGTTCCGAGCGCCTTAGCCTCCTCTGCCTGACATCGACCCTGTCAGCTCTGCCACCTCCTTCGCTCTGATTCAGCTGTGCCCTAGGTGCAGGGCAGGTCACGCACGTTCACTGAGCAACAACAGGGTCAGAGGGAAAGGCAGCCCACTGCCTGCCCTTAGGTTAGCGCATTTGTGCATCTGAGAAACAGGTAGTTCCATGAGCACAACGTGGGCTGCCTTCGACCTCAGCACCCCTCAGTGGGACTGGGGGCGCCACCTGAGCAGCTGAGATGCTAGCTCCACCCCCCCCCCTTACCTGGGAGCTGCCAGCTCTGCCACCTGCACATTCTGCCTGGCTGGTAGCACAGCGGAAGCTTGGTACAGTCAGATTCCAGATCAGTCGGTGCGAAGGCTGGGCAGTGCTCTGCAGTCACCCCTCACCTCCTGTGACCAACCCCTGGGTTATTACTGCACTGATTATTGCACCCCCCTGAGCCTGGGGGTGCAAATGTAAACCTCCGGACAAGTTCCTAAAATGTGCAGGCGGACTCCCAGGCTAAGACCTTCTCCACAGATGTCTGTAGTCAGCTTTTCAGAAGCAGTGGTTTTGTTTGGGTGACAACATACACGTGCACGCGCAGACACACACACACACACACACACACACACGGTGTGCACTCAGCCCTGGCCTCTTCTCTGTCGCAGCCAGAAGAGCCAACCTGCCTCCCGTGGCGGTCGTCTTGCCCCAGACACAGGAACTCATCCTGCCTGAGACATCCGCACTCTTCGACGGCAGCCGTGAGTACCTGGGCTGCTTTGCGGTTTTCCCTTGGGTCCTCCGAGCTTCCACAGGTGCGCCTCCTCCAGGCTGGGCGGACTCAGGGGCCAATGGACTGATACATGAGCATCTTTGATCTCAAAGTGCTCTGTTCCTTTGTCACAGCTTCTCTGTTCCATGTTCACTTTCCCTTCAGTAAAGTCTCGTTTGTCCAGGAAGAAGTTCCCCAGGCTCCAGCTCTGGGAGTTGGATTTAAAACAATTATGGAAGACTCTCCTTTTGATGTTAGGGTGTATACTGAATAGCAGTTGGAAAATCACTTTAAACAATTCCTAGCAGGCTTACCATCAGTGGATGGAAGTGGGTAGCGTTATATTTGTTAATTTTTCTTTAAAAAGATATTTATTTATTTGAAAGTCAGAGTTATATATATATATATATATATGTATATATATATATATATAGAGAGAGAGAGAGAGAGAGAGAGAGAGAGAGATCTTCCATCTATTGGTTTCATTTCCCAGATGGCCGCAACAGCCAGGGCTGAGCCAGGCTGAAGCCAGGAGCCAGCAGCCTCCTCTGGACCTCCCACATGAGTGCAAGGGCCCAAACACTTGGACCATCTACTGCTGCTTTTCCCAGGCCATTAGCAGGGAGCTGGATCAGAAGTGGAGCAGCCAGGACACACACCTGTGTCCCTGTGGGATGATGCTGGCATTACAGGCAGTGGCTTTACCTGCTACATCACACACCAGCCCCTTATTTGTTAATTAATTCAGTTTGTTCCTTCCAGCAGAGGTTATGTGGAAGGGGCCTCTGCGTAACTCCAGGTGTCCATGCGGTGAGAACATTGAAAACATAACCATGTCTGACCTGTCTCAACTGAATGAGTGTACTCAGTAATTGCATTTTATGTGCATGGACTCCTAAAGCGAAGACTAGATCCTGTAGAGCCTGGGGCAGAGCTGCAGAGCTGCAGAGCTGGTGTTGGGGAAGGGGCACTTAGCCCTCCTGCTGCTCACCAGCAGCCTGCGTGTGCGTGGAGGTGGCTAACGGGACTGCTTGTGTCTGTTCACGTGGGGATGTCTGCAATACTCTGAACGGTGTCTCCACCAGGGAGGATGCATTTGATTCCTCTCATTTAGTGCCAGTTCGGTGTCATTGCAGGAAATGGTTCTGAATTATTAACCCATCACCTGAGCTTGTTCTTGCTTGAAAAGAAGGAGATGACGCTGGCTGCCATCCAGGTCATTTAGTCTGCAATTCTGCATGGCATCTTTGAAAGTTGAAACTTTCATTTAGGATAGGACTTTGCTATGGATTTATACCTTAATAATTCATATGGTAAAAGTTGTTTTATGGATTATAGATAAGCATCTCAATGTTTTATGACTGTTAGTTCAGATACATTTTAGAAGCCACAGTAGGATTAGCATTGCTGTATTGAGATGGCTACGAGTAACGTTTCAGTGTGCTACTCTTTGTGGCTCCTGATTTTAAAAAGCAACAGTGCTCCTTAAATATTTACGAGTAGGGGGAAACCTCACTCAACTGAATCTGCTGGAAATCCCAGAGAAAAATGTGGATGATTCATTGAGGGAGACATCAATACTTAATACCAGGGGACTTCAAAAAGTTCATGGAAAAACAGAACTGAGAGATAAGTTGATTTATAGCAGAAGATGGCCCAATTGTTTGGGTCCTTGTTACCCACGTGGGAGACCTGGAAGAAGCTCCTGGCTCCTGGCTTCTGCCTGGCCCAGCCCCGGCCATTGCAGACATTTGGGGAGAGGACCAGAGAGCAGACGATCTCTCTCTCTCTCTCTCTGTCTCTCCTTCTCAGTAACTCTTTCAAATAAATAAATCTTTACATAAAAAGGTAAGTTGATTTTGGTACAAAATATTTGAAACTCATACTTAATTTTCTCATAATATGCTTTTTTTGGTGAACTGTTGGAAGAGCTCTTGTTCATATTCATTCAGATCTATGTAAGTATATAATTTCATATAAAAATGAATTTCAGTAAGCAGCTATATGAACCGTGAAGCTTACGTCTCGCTGTTCCTACTGGAAACTCTGGTCTGTTTTCTCTTCGTGTTTCAGAAAGCACAGATGATGCTGAAATAGTGAGCTATCGCTGGGAAGAGGTTGGCGGGCCTCTCCTGGGCCCCCAGGCCTCGGTGGACTCCCCGCTCTTGCACTTGTCAAACCTCGCTCCTGGGAACTACACGCTCAGGCAAGTGGCTCCCCGCCCTCCCTGGGCGCTGCCCTGCTGTGTCTTCCCCTCTTCTTCAACGTGATGCCTAGAAAACACCGCCGCTTCTTAGTCTGAGCGAGAGGCTGGGGAGACAGCGTTGGTTTCCGGAGGGTGTTGGTTGGCTGCCCTGTGGACTCCGACATCCTCACTAACGCCTGTGAGTCGGGAGTGCCCGCTGTGCAGTCACTCGGCTGGAGTTGTCAGGATCGCGTGCAGAGAGCGCCGTTTTGCTCCGGCGAGTTGTGCAGAAGGCAGCTGGCAGCTTCCGAGTCGCAGGGAGACAGCTGTACGATCATCTGCTAACTGTCTTGTCTACCTTAATCTTTTCCTTTGCATAACCAAGGAATAGTGAACCACACATACTCCAAGTAGGAAATTCGGTGCTTGTTGGTGTGTGTGTAACTGGGAAGCCATCACCACAGTGCAGAGAATAAGCACTTCCAAGTGCCCACCAGACTCCTGGTGCCCCTTGGGGACCCCTCCCACCCTCTGCTCCCCCCCACCCCATGACTGCTCAGCTGCTCTCTGGTTCTTTAAGCCGGTTTGCACTTGCTAGAATTTTCTATACATGGATACACTCTTTGTTTTCTTGGCTTCTCTCACTCAGCAGATGATTTTGAGATTTACCCACGCTGTCGTCTGTAACAATATTTTGTCCCTTTTCTTGTTGAATTGCAGCGTGTGGATGGACTACAGCTTGTTTATCCGTTTATCTGTTATGAACATTTGGGTCGTTTACAGCTGCGAGTGATTGTAGCGCGTTCGCGGCAGCTTTATTTGCACAAGTCCTTGCGTGGGCGCCTCTTTTCATTTCTGGGAGTGAGACGGCGGCGAGCATACACCCGGCCGTGGAAAGCCTGCGTCGTGCCGGAGTTTCAGCTGAGCTGCTGAACTCCTTCCCAAAGGGGCCGCCCCGTTTCACAGTTTCACCTGCCGTGCGCAAGACTTCCGGTTTCCATGTTCTCATGGTCAGGTTTACACATTTTAGCCAGTCTGGTGGTTGCTCTGTCACTGTGGTGTGCTTTGCTTCTGCCTGGAGACCAGTGATCCTCAGCTTGTACTTTCAGGCTTCTTACCTTTCATTATCTCCCTCCTGCTGTGACACATACAGTCTGACCTTTTGCCCATTCTAAAAACTACAGTAGTTAGTTGTAAGAGTTCTATATGCATTCCACACAGGGCTTCTTTACTTGGCTATAGGAATTGTGGGTAATTCCTCCTAGTGGGTGGCTTGCCTTTTTATTTTCTTTATGTATTTTTCAAAAAGCAAAGATTTTGATTTTGATGCAGTAGAATTGTCCTTTTTTTTTTTTCCTGTCTCATGTGTCTTGCCTTTTTGTTAGCAGCCTTTGTCTATTCCAAGATTTCTAGGATTGTTTGTCTGGAATTTTTATGGTTTTAGCTTTTATATTTAGGTAATTGATCTAATTTGAATGAGTTTTTGTGTATTATCTGGGATTTTTGAGTGTTGAATCAACCTTGCACTCCTGGAATAAGCCCCATTTTTTTTTGTCATAACATCCCTTTTATATAGTATTAAATTCAAATTGCAAATATTTTGGTAAGGATTTTTTATCTTTGTTTATGAAAGATACTGATCTGTTACTTTGTCTTTTCACCGTCTTTGCCAAGGTGTGGTGTGAAGATTATTGCAGGGGCCAGCGCTGTGGTGTAGTAGCATAAGCCTCCGCCTGCGGCACCAGCATCCCATACGGGCGCTGGTTCGGGTCCTGGCTGCTCCGCTCCTGACCCTGCTCTCTGCTATGGCCTGGGAAAGCAGTGGGCTGCATCCTGGCAGAGCTGCACACCCTCCGGCCACTCTTCTTGGTGCTGCCGTGATTGACGTGGTACTCAGTGTTTGCCAAGTCTTGGGAACACTGGAAAAGACCGACTGGCCTGAAGGCAGCCAGCTCTCAAGTCTGTGAACCTCCGCTGGCCCCAGTAGAAACCCAGTACCTCTAAGACCCTGATTCCACGTGGTGGCCACAAGGCAATTCAGCTCCTGAGAGACATCCTCCAGTTTGACCTTAAGGAATGCCCAACAGCTAGTCAGGTGCCTTGATAGCCTTACCTCCATATTGGGCACCCACAGGACAGCACCCTACAGGGTGTTCAGGATTCGGGAAAAGCACAGATTGATCTCCTGGAAAAGCCAGCAACCACACCAAGCCAGCCGGTGCCCTCAGAGTCTCGTGTACCCCTACAAAGCAGAGGCCTCCAGCAGAGAGAGACCCCCAAGCCACCTTCAAGAAGACAAGCTGAGCACTTTGCTTTTCTGTCCCCTAAACAACAGGGAACCTCAATTGAAAATCCTAGCTGGCCTCAGTATAAATGTGGAGAGTTCGAGCCAGAGAGCAGGAGCAAGTGGGGTCTTATTTCCAGATGAACAGGTTCCGGCGAGTGGGCTGACTTGGATGACCTGGACTTCAGTCTATCCTTCACTGTGATTGATGTGCAAAGCAAGAAGAGACAGAGCAGGGCTGGCATCATGGTGTAGCAGGTAAAGCCACTGCCTGTGATGCTGGCATCCCATAGGGATGCCAGTTTGAGTCCCAGCTGCTCCACTTGTGATCCAGCTCCCTGCTAATGCACCTGGGTTTATAAAGCAATGGAGGATGGCCCAAGCACCTGCACCCACGTGGGAGACCCTGGCTTTGGTCTGGCCCATTCCCTGCCATGGTGGCCATCTGGGGAGTGAACTAGCAGCTGTCTTTCCCTCTCTCAGTAATTCTGCCTTTCAAATAAATTTTAAAATAAATCATTTTTTTAAAAGAAGAAACAGAGAGATTGTTGAGGTGGATTTGTTCTGAGAGGGGAGTATGGTGGGGGCAAGAGGCACGGAGTCACCACACAGATCCCGGGAGAAAGCAGGCCAGAGGCGAGCAGCCTACAGACTCGTTTATTTCAGTTGGTACAGCAGCTTATATAGCCAAGGCAGCCAATCCAGTCAAGGGGCGGTTTATACCCTAACCAATCACAGCCTGTTGCCAGGCAGGCTCCGTTGCCATGTGGTTTCCGAAGCCATACAATCACAGCCTGTTGCCAGGCAGGCTCCATTGCCAGTGGCCATCTTGGCATGGCCTTCTCATTCCAGATGCTTTCTGCAGATTTGGGAGTGTTTTAGACCTGAAGCCATCAGGAAATAGCACCCTACCCAGGCTTCACATCAGAGGTGAGACACACTGGCCCTGGGATCTGCAGCCAAGCGCTCTCAATACTTGCCTGGAATCAGCATAAGAAATGGCATCCTGCCAAGCCCAGGCAGGGACTTCGTTCCATCAAATCCGTGGTCTGGTTGTAGTTTGTCTGGAAAGCCTTCAGGCGCAGGATCAGGAACCAGCAAAACAGATTCAGTTGGTTCTGGCTCTACAAATTCTACTGGACTGACTAGAAACTACACCCTTCCCTTCTGGAGAAAGAAATGGGCCCTGCTCTGCAGAGGCTACACCTGGTACCCATCCCAGACCCTGCCCTGGTTATTTCCTCAGGGCTGAGAGACCTCACGCTGGGGCAGCCTTTGCCCCCCACCCAGCCTAGAAATCCCCCTGGGTTGATGCCATGGCCTCCAGGTGCCCAGGCAGGGCAAGGCTGGGCAGACTGGGCCTCCAGGTGCACATCTGGGTGATCACCGTCTCAGCAGTGAACTCCTTCCTGGGGGAAGAAAGTGGTGCATGTTCCCTCAGCCAACCAGATTCCACCTGCTGGAGTCTCAGAGCTGGAGTAGAAGCAAACCTTCTCTCTCTAGTTACCCTTCCGAACTGAGGCATTTCAGTATGCTTTTTTTTTTTTTAAAGATTTTAATTTATTTGCTTGAGAGGCAGAGTTACAGACTCACATAGAGAGGTCTTCCATCCATAGATTCGCTCCTCAAATGGCCGCAATGGCCAGAGCTTGGTGGATCTGAAGGCAGGAGCCAGGAGCTTATTCCGGGTCTCCCACGTGGGTGCAGGGGCCCAAGGACTTGGGCCATCTTCCACGGCTTTCCCAGGCCATAGCAGGGAGCTGGATTGGAAGTGGAGCAGCTGGGACTAGAACCAGCACCTGTATGGGATGCCAGCACTGCAGGCAGAGGCATAGCCCACCATGCCACAGTGCTGACCCCTCAATATGCTTTTGAAAAGTCTTTTTTTGATTTGGATGCAGTGCCCCTTTTTTGTATAAGATTGTTTTATTCTAAAACTGTGTCTCTTTTTTTTTTCTTAAACAACAGTATTCTGTATATATGGGTTATAATTTAGCATTTTATACATCCAACTTTGCAATGGACTTTTTAAAGATTAAGTGAGTTTTCCTTTGTGGTGCAGTTTAAGGCTATGCGATGAAAGGTTAATGGGGTGCTGTTTAAGGTTCTGTGATAGGGGCCAGCATGGTGGCGTAGCGGGTTAAAGCTGCCACCTGCAGTGCCGGCATCCCCTATGGGCGCCAGTTCGAGTCCCAACTGCTCCACTTCAAATCCAGCTCTCTGCTATGGCCTGGGAAAGCAGTGGAAGATGGCCCAAGTGCTTGGGCCCCTGCATCCACATGGGAGACCCAGTAGAAGGTCCTGGCTTTGGATTGGCCCAGCTCTGGCTATTATGGCTATCTGGGGAGTGAACCAGCGGATAGAAGACCTCTCTCTCTCTCTCTGCCTCTGCCTTTCTATAACTCTGCATTTCAAATAAATCAAGCTTTTTTTTTTTATTAAAAAAAAAAACTATGTGGTAAAGGGCTGTTTACTACAATATGTGCAGATATTTGGGAAGTGGTTAAATTTTAAATGTGGCTCATTAGGTGCCTCAGGCTGTCTTGGATTGATGTTAGAAAAGCATTCCTCTGCTTTTCTTAAAATCCTGTCATAGATTTGAGTTTTTGGTACCACCGTGCAGTTCAGAAGGAACTGTTATGTAGTTCACTTTGTTCTCCAGATGAAAGAACTCCAAGTAAATATTTTTGAAATTTGTACAACTCCCTTTAGTGTAGCTGCAGATTACCAAACGAAA